TTAGCGAGTGCCTTAGCTGCCCCAAACAGATCTGCAGTCAATTTTTAAGTGTCAGCGTGAGCAGTTGGGGCTGATCATTTTCTCCTTGCCGGAGGGTTTTTATAGCGGATGCTACTTTTCGGCTCGGCCCAAAAGTACAACTGGCACTTACTCTGAAAACATGGAGAGAGGTGTTAAATAGTGAGTGACTTACGCAGCTGTCCTGGGCATTCAGGATAAATATTTCCTTGAGATGAGCGATAAGGTCATTTGCCCAAATAAGGCTTTCACTTGTCTCTGCCAACATTTGTCCATCCTCTGTGAGCTACCTCAACAGAATGTGCGAGTGTACAATTTCTCTACTTCCCCCTACACACACACACACACACACACACACACACACACACACACGCATGCATGCGTGCGCACATCAGATTCAGCTAAAGTGGTCTTTTTAAGTTATCCCTAGGAGCTGGTGAGACAGTGCTGTAGTCTAGCCTGGTATACATTAGACCCTATCTCAAAATACAAAATAAAACAAGTCAGGTATTTTACACTCATATCCGGTGCCTGTTCTCATACTCCATCTAGGTCTTAGTGGACATGTGACCTCTACACCAGACATCCTGCTCTGGAAATTGCATGTGTAGAAAACTTGCACGAATGACGTGGAATGTGACGTCCCTGACTCTCTGAACAGTGTCAAACACGGCTTCTGTTGCCATGCGTCTCCTTTCCTCCTCTTTGGGCAGCTTGGATCACTTCTGGCTCAAACGCACACCATCTGTGGCCAGGCTTCCTCACCACTCAGTAAACGCAGCCACAGGGCAGCACCAGGAGGTGCAGAAGGGAATTCCTTCTTAGACACCTTCATCTTTATTCTTCTTTTGTCTCTGGATGTGTGAGCTGGCCTTTTCATCACTGTGACCAATACTGACTCCTAGAGGACCTGAGTTCAATTCCCAGCAACCACATGGTGGCTCACAACCATCTGTAATGAGATCTGGTGCCCCCTTCTGGCCTACAGGGATACATGCAGGCAGAACACTGAATTCATAATAAATAAATAAATAAATAAGTCTTTTAAAAAAGATTGCAGAAACTCAGTATTTAAAATAAAATGAGGATTCAGCCCACGGTCAGCTAGCTTCCTTGCTATGCCTGAGGCAAAGCTTAACGCCATGGTGGGAACACTGGGTCCTTCCTCATTGTGGGCAGGAAGCAGAGAGAAGGTAGCAGGGCCAGAGACAAGATTCAGCCCACCAGCAGCGCTTCCCCTCGGTGACCCCCCCCCCAGTGACCTACCTCCTTCAGGTAGGTCTCCTGTCCTAAGTCCCACCACCTTTCCACAGTGCCATCAAATGACAGAGTTATCAGTGGGTTAACCCACTAATTACTTCAAAATCCTCAAGAGCCATCGCCTTCCAGGGTCCTCCACCCTGAAAATTCTGCACTAGGGATACCGTAGCCATGGGAGGGGACACTTGATTTTCTAACCGTAATTTTTTACTGTTAACAAGCTCTGTGATGGTAGGTTACATTGCCAGCTTTGCATAGCTTGTAGTCACCTGGAAAGGAGTCTCACTGGGGGACTGTCTAGACAGGTCAGCCTGTGTATGTCTGAGAGGTATTGTGAGGTCTCACTGGGGACTGTCTAGACAGGTTGGCCTGTGTATGTCTGGGTGGTATTGTGAGGTCTCACTGGGGACTGTCTAGACAGGTTGGCCTGTGTATGTCTGGGAGGTATTGTGAGGTCTCACTGGGGACTGTCTAGACAGGTTGGCCTGTGTATGTCTGGATTGTGGGGTCTCACTGGGGGACTGTCTAGGCAGGTTGACCTGTGCATGTCTGGATTGTGGGGTCTCACTGGGGGACTCTCTAGGCAGGTTGGCCTGTGCATGTCTGGGAGGTGTTTTGATTACTTAAGCAATGTAGGAAGAACCAACCTTAACATGGACAGTACTGTCACCACTCAGGAGATCCTGGATTCCGTCAGTGTGGAGCAATTGGGCTGAGCTCAAGCCAGCATGCAGGGTTAATTTCCCTCTGCTGCTGCTGATGGGTGTTATGTGATCAGGAGCTGTAAGTTCCTGCTTTGACTTCTCTGCAATGATAACGTGGAGATGTGAGCTGAAATAAGCCCTTTCTCCCTTAAGTTGTCTTTTTGTGGTATTTTGATCACAGCAAAGGAAAGAAACTAAAACAAACTTACTCCTAATTTATTATCAGGAGGCGTTGTTATTAATCTATTTGACCTTTTCATAAAGAGATTATTTTTTAATACCCGATGTAGCTAAATGTTTTATTATAGAAGGACTTTCTACTTCTTTTATCTATTTTAGCTTCTTTGCCTCTGTAGTATGGTGGGTAAAGCTAAAGGCCTCATGAAGCTACAAAACTAACCTGGCTATGTCACTTAGAAATGTGAGGTTTTGAGAAATAAACCCCAATACCAAGCTTAGTTTAAAAGGATGGCAGCCTCTTAGAGTCACCGTGAGGTGTGTGAGTCACGCGAGGCCCCAGGTGTAGCAGAGACTCTGACCCATCACAAACAGAGACTTTGGGGAAGGGAGCTTCTATTACCACCAAGCTCTTTCAGTTGCCGTTCCTGGCCCCGCCCAGCTCCATGTCAGGACGCTAATCCGTTCTTCAGGGTTTCTCTCAAGTCCCCCTTCTTCACTGAGCCCTCTGTAAACTTCGCTCTCCCCTTTCTGTTCTTTTTGAGAACCCTGACATGCGTTCATCCCCGAAATGGCTTCTGACTCACAACACACGGTGGTCACTTAATTAAGTCCTTAATTACTGATCTACACTGTAAAAGAACCCCACTGCCCTTCAACCCGTCATCAACGTGTGTTTACAGTCCTGGGGGTGGGTGTACAACCGCTCTCTGCAAGCGTGACCAGGGGCCACAGAAGTTCTCCAATGACCACAGCTGCCTACCACCGTGTCCCAGTTATTATTGTTCCCTTTTTATCGTCCTTAGTCTTCCCTGGGTCCAGCCCATTGTACCCGTGGAAGCTTCAAGGAGCTGTCCATACCCCACTCCCAACAAAGCAGATGCATCCAACTCCAGCATCAGATTTTGATCTCTGAGGGATTAAATCAAGAGCTAGCATCACAGAATCCACAGTGGGTTCTGAGCACAGGCTAAATGTCCCACCTCCATTTATCTTCTTTGGCAGCCCCGATATTCTATGCAATTTTTATACCATCATTTCTGTGCTTTGGTAGCTAATTAGAAAGTTGAGATTCGCAACAAATACATAATTTGATATGGGTTATGAATAATAAGAAATAGATACCTAAATATGGTGGATACTCTCTAGGCCCCAGGCCCTTACTGAGAAGCTTTTGGCCTTTGACAATTACAAGAGAAGGGAGGGCCATCCTTCATCCTCTTTAAGGGTGTGGCACTGGTTTCCATATTCCTCTGAAAGGCTCCACATTCACGCATGTATGAGCAACACTAACTGGGCTTGGTGGGTTATTAAAAAAAAAAAAGAAGACATAAAGCTGGGAGGGAACTCTGTTAAGGTCACATGGGGAGACTTGTAGGGAGGATGTTGGAGCCGAGGTGGTCATATTTCACTGTGTATACATGAAGTCCAGAAGAGTAAAAGAAAAATTATATGAAAAAAGAATCAAGTGCTTAATTCTCAGTTAATAATTATTTAGAAAAACAGTATAAAACTTTTTAAGGATAAGTTAAAAGAGACGCTTTGAAGCATAGAGTTGGATAAAATTGGACCACTTTATTAGGCTTAGCCAATATATGGCAAACATATGCACAGAAACAGTGTAATAATGGTCTAAATGAGCATTGAGCACTCGGATGTCATTTACACACTTATTTATACTTCTTCTTTTATTCTGGAAAATAAGGACAGGAAGACACGGTGAGGGAGAGCTACTCAGTCTCACCAGACAGTATTGGGAGATGCAGATGATTTTGGTCTCTGTGACATTAGAGTGGAGTAGACAGAGGAACCTTCAACACTAGACACTGAACAGAAGAGCTTAGGCTGGTGAGAAAAATACTGAGGAAAAAATCCTCCTTATTACAGCCCTCATTTGGAAAATTGATTTTTTTTATCATCTTAAGTCACACCAGCCACACTCCTGAGGGCGATTGAATCATGAGGCAAACTGCCAAGTCCAGTAAGTGTTGGGAAGGAGATGGCTGAGCAGGGTTATCGGAAGCAAAGGAGAAAGATGTGTTTTCATCCTCAGCCTAGACATTCAACACTGTGTTGTTCAAACTTTGAGAAGGTAGATAAATTCAGCTAGAATTGGCAAACATCTGCTATTTAGTGATGGTTGTTACCTCCTGTAGGCTTGTCATCTACCTGTGGGGCTAAGTTTACAACCCACAAACAAAACAGGTGATGAGTTCGTGTGAAGCAGAGCCCAGCACCTCCACAGAAAACACAGTCCTTATTATCCTGAAATCAGGGACCTATGGTGCCCGTATTAAGCTCTGAGATTACCGGACAAAGATCGTTCCTGTGATTGACTCTACTGTGTCCTTGTTTGCCTTTTGAATGTCCTGGGAAACCAGAGACCTAGTCGGCTCCCTGTGTTGAATTTTGAAGTGTGTCTTACTTCTGTATACCCCCACAGCATTACATCATGCTGCCTGGAGTCAATCTATCAGCTCCAGCATGAAGTCATCTGTGCCTGAGCTTTAGAAAAGGCCTCTTCCTTTTCAAGAGGGCTTCTGTCTGTGCCCTCCCCCTTCCCGTTTTAATAACTGTCATTTTCCAAGTGCATTACCTCATGTTTTGGCTGCAACCCAGATGAATCCAGGGAGAAGGAAAAAAACCCAGTGCTTCCAGACCGATTCATCCATATTTTATTTTACTTTTCATTAAGAAATTACTCTTTGAAGAAAATCAATAATGTTCTATGACTGGGGGGGGGGGAAGGTGAGCGTTGCCGTGGCAATTCTAATCTCTCAGATCAGACTGCCTTCAGCCAGATGTTGCTGATGGAGACTTTGTCCTTCCTTGTTCCCGCAGCTTGGATACATGGTGACCCCAGGAGAGTGGCCTATCCTACAGACAGCCAGGGACACTTTTGTGGCCAGAAGGGAACCCCCAACGAGTGAGTATGGCCACTGTGCTTTGCGTGGCTTTACTGTCTAACAGGAACCTAAACACCTTAGCGTCATCAGTCCCGAGGGATCTCTGGGGAAGGTTAAGACTCACCAAGGAGGCTTCTGCTGTCTCTTTTCTTACAGGCAGAAGCAAGTGGTTTGGGGGGGAAAGACCCTCATCCTCTGCAACTCCGCTCTTATCGGTGAAAACAAAATTCTAAAGCCAGGATGGGACCAGGGACTTGCTGGCAGCCATATTTAGAGCATGCCCTTTGGATTGGGCTATGGTATGACTCTATTGGGCAGCTGCTGAAATGTCGGCACCTTGCCAGTGTTGGGCTGTCTTTGCCATTGTGTTTACCGACAATCGCTCTGCCCTTTTGAAGTGTCCCCAGATCTTCAGTGCTCTTTGGGGGTAACTCATCAGTAGACAGTGCCCTGGTAGCTGGAAAAAAGATGTGTCCAGTGTTGACCAAAACAGAAGCGGCTCTGTTTGAAAGCAAATTTTCTACATATTTATTGAAAACCCAGCAGACAGACAAAAGCCGTATCTCACATTTTTTAGAAAACCTTTACACCTTTCCCACGGTTTGTTTCTTTCTTCACTAATGGGCTTTCCCTCTGCAACCAGTTGAGTTTCTGTGATTGCTGGTTTGGGATAATTGTGGAAAGACAAAAGGCCAATTAACAACAGGGTGTCCACCAGCAAAACAAAACAAAACAAAACAAAAAATCAAAAAAAAAAACAACAGCCCAGAAGCTCCATCGCGTCTCTGTAGTGCCACCCAGGACTGAGGATGTGTCAGGCCAAGAGATGTATGGACTTAAAGACAGGCATTCAGCAAAGAGTTGAAGAATTCATAGGTAGGATAAGTGTATGTAATAGAGAAAACAGAAACTCGGAGTGGGGAGAGGGAACCCTTAGTCACATCAAGGCAGATTTGGAGAACGTTTCCCCTGCAAAAGGGGAACAGACACCTGAACTAAATTTGAATCCAGACCGTAACTGTAATTTCACCTTGGAAGCCTTAAAAGTATCTGAGACTTTTACACTAGGGGTGGGGGAAGAAATCACCAGGAGGTGACAAAAGAAAACATAGACATCTCTAAGTCCCCAGTTACTCTGAAACAGGCTATTTGTTAAAAGGGTTTCAAGTAACAGGTCTTTCAGACCTAAGTCCATGACCCACTTACGTCAGACCCAGAGGTAGCGCCCCAAATTGCGGTGTGGAAGGACCATCCAGAGGTGACTCTTGCCTGACAGATTATTCATTCAAATACAGTGTCTGATAAAAAAAAATCTGAACTGGAACAGATTTCAGCCACATGTGAGTGACAGTTCGGGTCCATCATTTAATAAAATTTAGCAGACCCACTGGAGAAAGTGCTCATGATTGCTGAAGCCTGCCCTGATCATATTTGCTCTTAGTTGCTTCTGTGTGGTGATCCTGAGGACACCATTTGCTGGTATCTCTATGGCAGTCATTACAATTTCCTTTTCTAGATCTGAATTTCCAGCTTGGCTGGAGCTTACTTTTTATATGAATAGGATGAAACAGGAACCAAAACTGTTTTTCCCCCAACTGCAAAACCAATTATTTAAAAATAATTTGTTGGATAATAGGATTTTTTTAATATTTTCAGTCTCATACAAAAATTGTTATATAAATAAACTTACATACTTTTTCCTTTCTGAACCTTAAGCCTATATCAATGTACTTAAGCCTCCCAGTAGCTTTTTAAGTGTATTATTTATGTATTGCATGTGTGTGTGTTGTATGTGTTGTGTGTGTATTATATTGTTGATGGGGAAGTCCTATGTATATGCCAATAAAGTACTGTTGGCCAATAAGGAAGCAAGATAGGTGGGCCTAGGAGTCGAGGAGGACTCTGGGAAGGAGAAACACAGGGAGTCATCATGTAGCTGCCACAAGGGTAAGAAGTCCGGACCCTTTTTTCCGGTAAGAGAAATACTTAGATGAACAATTATGGGGTAAATACTTAAATCAGAGCTAGCCAGTAAGAAACAAGCAAGGCCAACAGTGTCTTGTGTGCTATTTGGGGACTACAACGTGGCAGAGCCCAGGTGACTGGTGGGGAAAAACCAAAGTGGCTGGCAAGGAAAAGGTTTCACTTAACATGTTGTATTGTTCTGTGTGTGTGTGTATGTGTGTGTGTGTCTGTAAGCATGCATACATGGATACACATGAGGCCAGAAGAGGGCATTTGATCCTGTCCTGACTGGTTTTATGTCGACTTGCCGCATGCTAAAGTCGTCAGAGAGGAGGGGGCCTCCACTGAGAGAATGCCTCCAAAGACCCAGATGTACACAAGCCTGTAGGGGGCTTTCCTAGTTAGTGACTGATGTGGGAAGGGGCAGCCCATTATGGAACCATCCCTGGGCTGGTGGTCCTGGGTTCTATAAGCAAGCCATGAGGAACAAGCCAGTAAGCAGCCTCTGCATCAGCCCCTGCCTCCAGGTTCCTGCCCTGTGTGAGTTTCTGCCCTGCCCTCCTTTGGTGATGAACAGTGACGGGAAAACATAAGCTCAACAAACCCTTTCCTCCCCAGATTGCTTTTATCACACAGGGTTTCATCACATAGTAACCCTGACTAAGACAGATCCTGTGGAGTTGATATCTTAATTATTATAATAAAGGTATGCCAATTAAAAATTTACACAAAAAGTTATTTCAAGGTATGCTATTGATTTAACTAATGATAAGTGAAAGCACTTATAGAGATATATATGAACCCGGAGACAGCGCAGGTTTTATATACGTATCAGTAAAGACCAGAGAGTAACAGCAGCCAGGGGTGTATTTATAAAACTGCGGTCTAGGAGCTCAGACTGGAACCCGAAAGAGAAGCGAGGAGCTGTGTGGGTCTCTGTCGGGATCTCCTTTGGGGTTTCTGTGTCTTTAGTAAAACTTTAAAAATGTCATCCACTCAAGAAGTAATGAATGAGCAGCAGTTTAGGTGGGTTTCAGGGATCCCAGATTTGGGGAAATGCCAGAAAAACGACAACACATCAAAACTGGCGAGAAGCTTCAAGTCATGTTTCATGACAAAAAGTGTGAATTGAACTTGGCTGTTGGTAAGAGGGTGGGCGCCCTACCAACCAAGCAGCCCGGAAGACTCGAACTGCGTGTGAGACATCTCGGTCACTGATTCTGGTCTCTCTGATGAAGGAAGCAGAGCCCTGAACCAAAATAAAGTAAAGTAGGGGGAAAAAAGCAGACCGGAAAAGAAGTGACGTTGAAATGCTGACTGTGGAAAGGAAGGAAGAAAGGATGAAAGAAAGAAAGAAGAAAGGAAAGAAAGAAAAAAAGAAAGGAAGAATATTGACCAAAAGGATGCTACAAATAATGGCTGAGATAATTCTGGAAGAATTCAGAAACTGAAAAACTTGTGTAACTCTCAGAAGATAGATTCAGAAATAAGTCCCAAGAAGGTAAGTGAAGAATTTCTGCAAAATACAAAAAGGAAACAGGAACATCTCTGATGTAGCACAGACTCTTTGCCCAAGGGAAAACCAAGAACCAACGCTTCCCCTGTCTGTGCAGTTGTGAAGTCTCCAACAGATGCTTTCTGAGGCAAAAAGAGAAAACCAGGTCAGTTGGGAGCACAGACCCTTCTGTGTTACACGATCCTACTGTGGTCTCTTTAAGAAGTAAACAATTGTTTTGCAATATGAGAACAGTCAAGTGTTTAAAATATAAAGCTAGGAAAGAAACAATAAAAAGCAAGTAAAACTATGGGCTAAACATGTTAAACGTAACAGCAAAACTGAAAATGTAACAGAAATATTGAAGGAATTTGCCATTGAGGGTAAACCTCCAAGAGGGCCAGCCGTTGTGACCCATCCCTGTAAGCCCTGTAAGCCCTGTAAGCATTCGGGAGGCAGAGGCAGGCAGATCTCTTATTTCCAGGCTAGCCTGGTCTACAGAGTGAGTTCCAGGACAGCCAGGACTACGCAGAGAGACCCTGTCTTAAAGGGGGAGAAAGGGAAACCACCAAAAACATGGTAAACAAAATTACAAGGTAATCGGCCTTCCGGGAAAAACAAGCACTTTACAAATATTCAGGAACAAAAGGAACATTGGCGTTATGATCTGAACACAAACATCACCAGTGAAAGGGTGTTCGTCCCTGAGCCTGCAGGTGGGCTCAGCATGTGCTCTGCCTTCTGCAACTTTCTCTGCCCAGGGGAAGTTGCTCATGACCCAGGGCTCAAAGTCCTGTTCTCCAGTATTGCTACTAAAAGGTGGGAATTTGGTAGATTGCACCGCCACCTTCTGGCTACTATGGGAACTTCATCTAATGAAGATTGCTGAGCTTTCAACACATGCTACAAGAGACTCCCCCCCACACACGGGTTCAGATTCGACTCATTCTCCTTCCAGACTCCCCTCTCTCTGAAGAGAGATTGCAAAATAGCGGTGCTCTTGGTTCGCTCTGGAGCACACACCCACATTTTTCTTTTGTGTATTGAATGACATTGAACCACTGCTTGATCCCAGCACTGTCTTAGGTACTTTCTACACCGCCGTGAAGTGGACAGAGCTGTGTGGTCCTCGTCTCCCTAAGGAGATAGCTGACATTCAGAGGGAACCTCAAATGACAGTGTGATCTTCCACTGAAAGTTCATGGCTGCCTCTGTGTACAGTTTGCAATAGAGAGTGTAACCACTGCTTTTTTTTTTTACACCACCAACATAATACATTCTCACGTTAAAGAAATCCGTAAGTGCAAAAATCGGATGAAGGAATATAATCCCCAAATTTAGGTGTTGTGGTTTCTTTTTGTGTATACTTTGATACTTATTTCCACACAGTCAAATTGTATCTTGATGACCTTTTAGGGAAGCTTCTTTCTGAAATAAATATATCACTAATTTCTCCTAGTTAAGTGTGTGTGTGTCAGCCTCATTCCCAACAGCTAAGCGATCGCCTGCTTCATGATGAACAGTTCCTTGCTGGTAGACAATTTACTTCAGCTTTTAGTAATAACAAAACAGTGATCCATCCGGCTGTTAGGCGACGTGTAGGTGGTCTGAGACTATGCCGCATCGTACACAGAAGACAAAACTGCTTTTCTTTTTTCGGTTTTTTGAGACAGGGTTTCTCTGTACTGTTTTGGAACCTGTCCTGGAACTCGCTCTGTAGTCCAGGCTGGCCTCAAACTCACAGAGGATCCATCTGCCTCTGCCTCCCGAGTGCTGGGATTAAAGGCGTGTGCCACCAACGCCCGGGGATGAAGCTGATTTTAAGAGCCATGCTTTAAAAGCGTCTGTAGAGCCTCTCCGCCGTTGCTGATAAAACTGTTTCCTTTTTGAACAGGAACAAGACCATCTTGTTTTACTTCAACCTGTTCCGGTGCACCAGCCCATCCATGATGCTGAAGCTACAGTGCCCCACTACGCAGGTAAGGCGGAGGCTGCCTCAATGGTGGTGTTAGAAGTCCCTCACACGCAGGGTGAATTCACAGAACTCCCTGTGGAGTTTGTCTGTGTGGTAGGAAGATGCTAAGCCTGATGTCACATTCATTCAAGGCTAAGGCAGAGATGAATTATTTCAGAGCCACTAGGGAACTTCGGGGATGTAACCGTCTGCCCTTGTCAGTAACCGCAGCCCGGAGGTCCTTGCCTGGTGTCCCAATCATTTCTGTATCTTTGGATCCATTCATTGAGGAGTGGCGGATGTCTGGAAGAGCCATATTACCTTGTTTTTTGTCAAGGATTCTGTTTCTTCTATACCTGGGTTTGCGTGTCTGTTGAGATGTGCGCCTCTTCCTAGTTGTTAGGGGTCTCCTGAGAAAGCAGCCTTCTCTGGAAGGGCTGGATCTGAGGTTGTGCCGGGAGAAAACAAGCCATGGCAGGAGAAACCAGATGCAGAAAGAGCTCCGATTAAACTAAGCGATGCCTATCACTATGCTACCGATATGCATAGAGAGGAAAATAACATAAAACAATGGAGAAAACATGTGAGGTTGAAATCAGCCGAGGTTAGATGATAGCAGATGAATGAATTAAAGGATGGTGATGAGGAAGGAGAAAGGGGAATTCAAAGTTAAATATAAGAAGAGAAAGAGTGTGTGATGGGGAGAAGCCTGGGGCAGGAGATAAACAACTATAAACTAGAGAAAATGTGTAAATAAAATTGGATAAAAGTAAGGAGGGGAATAAACACAAATATTTAATGACGTTAAAACAGTACTAAAAATATAATAGTATAAAAAGTCTTGAGACGTTCAGCCCCTCTCCCTGATGGGATCTGTGGGAGGATGGTGGTGGTAGCTGAGGTTTCTGGTCATTCCTATCAAACGGGCTGGAATTGCTTGCTGGCGGAGCCCCTGGCCAATTACCTGCCACGCTGGCTTTAGACGCTTCTGTTCTCTGTGTATCCAGAGCTATTGCTAGCTTCCCTGAGCTCTGTAACCTGTGACACTCTGGAGGATACTCCCTCATTCCCCTCTAAGCAGAAAGATCTGTAAGGTTAAATAAATAAACAAGCCCACACAAGGCACAATGTGAACCGGAATGCGCCTAGCACTGTGCTTGGACATCTGCTTTCTTTGAAGGACACCGCAGGCTCCTGCTGCTGGTCTTCATTTTCTCCTCTTTTTCCGAGCCCTCTTCTTCCAGGTGGCCCCGTGAGTCGGCCACCGTAGGCAAATCTTTCTCTGACTGTTGTCTTTTTAGTGAGATCATGCGTGCTCACGTGTGCAGGTGCGTGACTATGGGACCAGCGGCTGACTTACTTGGAGGGTCCTCTGTTTCTCTCAACTTTATTTTGTGAGACAGGGCTTCTCACTGCACCCAAAGCTCATGGATTCAGCTAGGCTGGCCAGGTAAAGGCTGCCAGTGATCCTCCGGTTCAGTCCCCAAGGAAGGCCTGGGACCAGGGGCCTGATGCTGCACCCGGCTTTTCACGCGGTGCTCCAGGTCCAGACTCAAGTCCCCATGCTGCGTGAAGGGAGTTTACCCACAGAGAAGCCCAAGACCTCTCACTCAAAAGTGCGACTGCACCCCCCCCCACTCTCTCGCCTCTTTTCTAGCCTTCAGTAACAATTATTCCTGTCTTAGGACAAACGTTTCATTGATTTCTCCCTGTATCAAGAGGTAAGCACCTTGGGGGTAAGGACTCTCATCTGTTATATTTTCCTGCTGTGTTTGTGTTGTCTTCAAACCCCCAGAGCAGATGATCAGTGCATATCTATAGAATGAAGGAATTAGTGAATGAGTAAATGACCGTCTTCCTACTCCTTCCGCTATACCACACAGACCAAGGTCCCTATGGTAAAACAGAAATGGCGTGCTTTATTATTTGTGCAAGGGGTTTCCTAGATCATGTGGGAAATATGCACAGCAAATACAGTGCAAGTTTAATAATTCCTGTTTACATCGTGTCAACCCCCCCCTCCCCGGAGTTGATGACCCAACAACGGCGGCAAAGGCTGATGCTGAGAGTGCCCCGTGGAATCCACAGCGGCCGTAGCTTGGTGGGACATGCTGCAACTGAGGCTTTGCATCCTGCGTTACCCAGCCCCGAAACGGTGTCTCTATAGACCAGAGCTCTGTTCTGTGCTGCGCGACGTGTTTTTATCAACTGGTGGCATGGTCCAGACTCGTGTCACCAGCCCCTGAAGGGCATACCAGGATCAGTTAGGGTGCCCGGCCTCAGTGTGACCGTCTTCTCTGGCTAATTGCATGGGGATTGCTTCTCATCAGCATCCCCTTGGAAGTGAACACATTGGTCCCAGGGAGGGAAAGAAGAAAGAGCAGTTGCTGTGGTTTCGGTTTAAACAGATGGTCTACGTTCAGAATGGAGTTTGACGTGGTTCTCTTGACAAACAACTGGTTTTTTTCCATTTTAGTTGCCTTCTTTTATGTGTTGTACATGCACCCGCTTGTATGTGTAGCACGCATGCACACGTATGTGTAAGTGTAGAATTCCTGGGGTCCCAGAAGCCTCGCATTTTATTTATTTATTTATTTATTTATTTATTTATTTATTTATTTATTTATTTTGGTTTTACGAGACAGGGTTTCTCTGTATTGTTTTGGAGACTATCGGTCCAGCCTGGCCTCGAACTCACAGAGATCCGCCTGCCTCTGCCTCCTGAGTGCTGGGATTAAAGGTGTGCGCCACCACCGCCCTGCAGCCTCGCATTTTATAAAGCTCAATGAGGCATTAACCCTTTGAGTCCTCACTTTTATAAATGTGCCCAAATGCGTCCGTCTTGAGTCTTTCACCGTCCTATGAGCAAAGAGCCAAAACTGACACGCCTCTGGGCATCTACTAATATATGCAACATGTATTCAGCTTGGCTGCAATCAGAGTGAACTCTTCCCCTTCACCGTGACAATGACTTTGACCTTCTTAGGAAACACGTGGACATGTTGGATGTTGTCAGTGTTTGTATACAGCTCTTTAACTGTGGGACCTCCAGTGCTCCCTCTAGAAGTATATAAGTGTGTGTGAGAGAGAGAGAGACCGAGAGAGACAGAGACAGAGAGAGGCAGAGAAGGGTGGGCGGAGAGAGGCAGGAAGTGCACATGTGCGTGAGTCATAAGCAGGGGCTGGAGGGATGGCTCAGTGGTTAAGAGCACTGGTTGCTCTTCCAGGGGACCTGGGTTCGATTCCCAGCACTCATGTGGCAGCTCACAACTGTCTGTAACTCCAGTTTCAGGGGATCCAACACCCCCACACAGGCATACAGGCAGGCAAAACGCCAGTGCACGTAAAATAAAAATAAGCTAATTAAAACAAATGAAAGACAAAAGATCGTAAGCAGAAGCAAAACCAGCAGACTGGCAGCTCCCCCGTTTCAACCATCTTTTTATGGTCTTGCTGTCACTTTGTCTTGGCTCTGTGAATGACCACAGTAACTCGGTCTGCCACTGACACAACCCAAGTCCATTACTGTCAAATAATTGCAGGCGACCCCTCTGGCCCCTGTCTAGACGGCGTTGATAAAGAGGCTTCACCGGTGATTAATCATGGCAGATATCCGGATCTCACTTATTTCTTTCGGTGACAAAGTCTTAATTATGGGAAACTCACGGACACACTGATGCAAACCTCCCAGGCACATTAATAGGCATCACAAAACTTCAAAGCCCTTTTATTCAGGGAGAAACCCAAGCAAGACTCTCTAACCGAGAATATACACAGACTGCAAAAGTAATCTTGAATTACACTCCTGCCTATTACTACAGACAATCACAAGGAAATATCTATATTTAAAAAGGAGCCGTGACAGAGATGGAGAGGAGATGGTGGATAGATGGAGAGATGGAGAGATGGTGGATAGATGGATAGATGGAAAGATGGGGAGATGGGGAGGTGGTGGAGAGATGGAGAGATAGAGAGATGGAGAGTTGGAGAGATGGAGAGATGAACAGATGGATAGATAGAGAGATGAATAGATGGAGAGATGGATAGAAGGAGAGAAGGAGAGATGGATAGATGGGGAGATGGAGAGATGGGGAAATGGTAGATAGATGGAGAGATGGTGGATAGATGGAGAGGTGGTGGATAGCACTCACTGCTCTTGCAGAGGACCTGGGTTCAGTTCCTCAGCACCCTTTGCTGGGGTGACTCTCAACCTCCTCTAACTCCAGCCCCGGGGACCCGCCCCCTGTCCTCTTCTGGTCCTATCTCCCACCTGCATGTCTCTGCACCTGTGGCTTGCTCCCACATATGCACCACAGACAATGAAAATAAAAGCCTTTAAAGGGGCTTTAAGAAAATCATCATTGTTCTGCAGTAGGAGTCACCGAATGGGCACATAGAACCGTCCCCCACAGGCACACACTGAATGGACATAGAAATCAGCTCAGTCTAAACCAAGTGAGTGGATGTAAACATTACCTTAGAGTTATGCAAAGTATTACTGCCCGGGGCGTCTGAGTGATGAGCGCATAGAAACTCCTGTTTCCCACAACTCCTTGTGGGTCTACATTTATCTCGACAATCAAGTTAAAAAATAACAAATCCATCTAGAGCTTTTTTTTTTTAACTTTGCATATCGCAGGCCAGAATTTACGTACGAGAAAGAACATGCTGGCTTTGTCTAATTTGTCTAGGTCGCCTCACTTAGCATTTTGTGTCCCTGGAGGGGCTGGTGGTCTTAGGTGACAAGGAGGGATGGAAGGCGGGAAAAAGGTTACATGGGACACGGAATGGGACAATAACAGGGGAGTGGGGCGGGGACAGAGGCAACTGTGTGGGAGGGGCGGGAAAGGAAAGCCACAGAAATGCTTGGCTTAGTGATGCGACCGTGGTCTCGGACACGCTATCTGCCGATGTGAAAATCAAAGAATAATGAAGTGCCGTTACTGTTCAATATCTTGTCTTAGCACCAGACCAAGAAAGCAAGACGTGCAGGTCGGCACCGTCCAATACTCAGTTTAATTTTGTACAGTAAAACTAGAAGTGTGATTTAAGTCACATAGGTGAAAAACGATGTTTTACTCTTCATACTGGAGGGGAGCCCAACCCTGGAGGCATGATCCCCATTCATCCTGTCACTATGCTTCTCTGTTCCACAGATCTGCGTCTCCAGGTGCCCGGAGAAATTCCTAACCTACTTGGAAATGCGGTTTTTGAACAAAAAAGACAAAACCCAGTGGGAATACTATCGCCAGTTCTGCAAGGCCACGGCCAGTCCTGCAAAGGTGTGTGCACTCGCCGAGCTCACGCCTGGAAGGAACATCCTAGTTCACTACTGGGAAAACAAATTGTCCAGATCTAGAAAACAAACATTAGTGGTGCTGTTCCAATAGCACACAAGCTCACAGGGATACCGTCCGTGGTGTATCACTGCGTAGACACTCATCAAGACACGGAGTGTTCATGGTATACACCGTGTAGATGAAGAAACACCACGCGTGATGTGTCAGGTGGGAAAGACTGTAAAGTGTGCTTAGCTCCAATTGACAGATGGCTGTATCTGGATGGGTTTGGTGATAAGAGCTAGAATTTTCTGTCACCTAGAGTCATCATTACAAAACCATACTGGTAGGTGGTTTAGCTGAATAGGTGCTGGCCTGGTCTGAATTCAACCCCCAACACTGATGCTAAAATGACAGAAGAAGAAAACTGAGTCTGGCAATGGGACCTCCACATGTGTCCCTTAGTATGCGTGGTGTACACACACACACACACACACACACACACACACACACACACACATACACACACACCAAAGCAATGCAATAGAAATGTCTAAGCCCACTCTTTCCTAGGTTTGACAAACACGGGAGGGTCAGAGATTGAGTATGATCTCTTCACATGTGTGCCTTGCTTTTGTAAGATTTTGTTTTGTTTTGTTTAATCTCTGTTGATTCATTTAGAGCATTTGGAGGGATTTTTCCCAAAAATAATTTGCATGTGATAATATTATCATTACTGGTGGGGGGGGAACAGTTTTGGGAAAATGAGATGTGGAACTAAGATTTCAAGCTCAAGATTTGGACATCAAGAGTGAAAGTGGTTGTTGCTGGCTCCGAAGTGTTAACATGCCCCCCCCCTTCCCTTTCAGTCTCTCTCAGATCTTCTGTCCCGCGGCGACTGTCCCCCAGCAGTCTATCCAAGCAGACCTTGTAAGTGGCAATGATCTTAACTCTGAAACACAGACTCCACCAAAATGTGATTTAAATGAGTTTCTTCAGCTGATAAGCTGAGGCTGAGAAATGTCCAGTCCTGTCCTGAGAGCCCGGAGTTAGGGAGGAGCGATGTCTCTGGCCACATCGGTCCTCACTCCATGTGGGGCATTCCCACCAGAGCTCTGTGGGGTTTGGGGCTGTGCTACATAGGCACATTAGGAAGCAATAGGATCGATTTTAAGAAGCCCGCACCCCCCCCAAGTGTAATCCTGTGTATCCCTACAAGCATTTACAGCACACACAGTCACGCAGGCACACCTATCCCTGAGGTCAGCCGAAAACATCGGAAGTTGCCCAAGAAGTAATTTCTAAGCTGCATATCTTGCATGCGTAATTTGATGCCTGAAATTCTTCTATGCTTCTTTGATGCATATGCATTTTTATTTCTTTGCTGTTTAAGCATAAACTGATGGGGTGTCTAGAAAAAAAACTGAAATAACCACTCACATTCTTCTCTGGAGGCTGCAATTCTAATTACATAGGGAGAAAAAAAAGCTTTATGTGAAGATTTCCAAGTGTTCATTCAGGGTAAGGCAGAGGGCGATTAACACAGAAGTCAGAGATCACAGGTGGTAGTGGGGGGGTCGGAGAGAATGGAGAGGTCGCAACACCCAAGGGCAAGCGGACCCTGAAATAATACAGCCTGGCTGCGAGAGGAGCTATCTTAGAACCAGTAAATGAGGAGCAAAGCGCACCCCTACCCATGCAAACTGTTGTAGGCACAGTGCCAAGCACATATAAATCAAAATGAATCCCAGAAATTATTTAAGGGAAAAAGGTCAGGAAAAACAATACTGAAAACTACTGAGTTGCTTGCCAGCGGGTGTGGGGAGGCAGAGGAAACGTGGCTCCTTCTCCTGTATTCTGTTCCTCGGTTCCTTCCATAATGAGTGCATGGTTCTACTAAGGCAGAAGACACACTGGGCACCAAGCTAAGGAGGAAGTCAAATATGGTGAATGAGCTGCCACAAAAACCCACCTGTCCGGCGTTCCCCTCATCTTTCGCTGCTGGTTCATTAAAGACCCCGAGACTGAGCTGCCAGCTTCCTACTATGTGAGAAATGGTGATCACCAGGAAGTCCCAATGGGGTTCTAGCTGTCTGTGGCCTAGGACAGCATGGAAACTTCTCATGGGAAAAGGGAAAGTAGCTGCCCTCACAGTTAGATTTTGGTTAGATCATATGTTTTAAAATATACAAAGGGGGTCCCATTTATTAATTGTTTATCTCAGTGACCTCCTAAAACTGAGAAGCTTCTGCAAGACAAAGGACACAGTAAACAAGACAAAATGCTACCCACAGGATGGGAAAAGATATTCATCAACCCCACATCTGGCAGAGGACTAACCTCCAAAATTTACAAAGAACTCAAGAAGCAAGTATCCAAAACACCAAAGGACCCAATTAAAAACTGGGGTACAGAACTAAATAGAGAATTCTCAATAGAGGAATCTAAAATGGCTGAGAGACACTTAAGAAAGTGCTCAACATCCTTAGCCATCAGGGAAATGCAAATCAAAACAACTCTGAGATACCATCTCACTCCTGTCAGAATGGCTAAAATCCAAAACACCAATGACAGTCTGTGCTGGAGAGGATGTGGAGAAAGGGGAACACTCCTCCACTGCTGGTGGGAGTGCAAACTTGTACAGTCACCTTGGAAATAAGTATGGAGATTCCTCAGGAAAATGGGAATCAGTATACCTCAAGATCCAGCAGTTCCACTCTTGGGCTGGATACACATTCATACCACAAGGATGTCTGTTCCACTATGTTCATAGCAGCATTATTTGTAATAGCCACAACCTGGAAGCAACCTAGATGCCCCTTAACTGAAGAATGAATGGAGAAAACTTGGTGCATCTATACAATAGAGTATTACTCAGAGGAAAAAAATGGGATCTTGAAATTCACAGGCAAATGGATGGCAATAGAAGAAACCATCCTGAGTGAGGTAACCCAGTCACAAAAAGAGAAACATGGTATGTACTCACTCATATATGGATATTAGACATAGACCAAAGGATTACCACACACTGCCAGAGAAGCTAGGAAAACAAGGAAGACCCCCAAGATAGACATACATGGTCCCCTGGAGAAAGGGAAAGGGATAAGATCTCCTAAGCAAATTGGGAGCATGGGGTGGGAGGGAGCAAGAGGGGAAGAGGAGAAGAAGAGGGGACGAGGAGAACAGGAGGGATCAGGAAGACTGAAACGGGAGGAATTGAGGAAGGCAAGAAAAGAGATACCTTATTAGAGGGAGCCAGTATAGGTGTAAAGAGAAATATGGCAGTAGGGAAATGTTCAGAGATCCACAAAGATGACCCCAACTTAGAATCTAGGCAGCGGTGGAGAGGCCGCCTTTGGTACCCTTCCCCTATAGTGAGATTGATGACTACCTTAAATGCCATCCTAGAGCCTTCATACAGTAGCTGATGGAAGCAGAAGCAGACACCCACAGCTAAGCACTGAGTTGAACTCCTGGAATCTAGTTATAGAGAGGGAGGGGGGATGAGCAAAGCAATCAAGACCATGCTGGAGAAACCCACAGAACCAGCTGACCTGACCTAGTGAGAGCCATGGACCCCAGTTGTAAAGCTGGGGAATCAGCATTGGACTGAACCAAGCCTTCTGAATGTGGGTACCAGCTAGGAGGCCTGGGAAGACTATGTGTCCTCTAACTGTGGAGTCAGTGTTTATCCCTGGTGCACGAATGGACTTTGGGAGCCTATTCTCCACGGAAGGATAATATTTCAGCCCAGATACACAGAGGAGGGCCTAGGTCCTCCCCCAAATGATGTGACAGACTTTGATGATCCCCCATGGAAGGCCTCACTATCCTTGGGGGGCATGGAAGGATGGGTGGGAGAAGAACAGGGGCAATTGGTATGTAAAATAAGATTGTTTCTAAATAAAAATATTATAAAATAAAATATTCATTGGTGATATAAAATGTATAATCCATAATCTCTCATAGTGTAATAAAAACGAAGTGAGATCAACATTACAATCGACTTGCTCTTCTTAACAGAGGATCAAGTAAGCCCCTAAGTGGCATAGTGTACAACTAATAAGACGCAGTCCCTAAGTTGTGTGTAAAAGCAGACAAAGTAAGATTATGTGAGAGGAGGGAAAAAAAAGAATCCTATTTCCTGTATTCTTTTGGCTTTCAAAAAGGGAGAGATGTAGGAGAAAGATGGGAAGGAACCTGGGAAACCGGGCAGCAGAGTCTCATGGCTCACCGCAGGTATCATATTGCAACTTTTCCTCATAGTTTTTTTTTGTATTTTCCAAATATACACTGAGCATATGAATTAATGGGCCCTGACAGATTGGAAGCGATTACCAGAAATAATATGTAGAATAAGGCCAGCGAAAGTGAAAATTTACACCTAGGATGTAAAAAAAAATACTAGAAAGAATAAGAGAAAAGAAATAACCGAGCCCAACTGTGTGCCAACTGAGCCCTACTGTGTGCTAGCACCCCACTGGGGAAGGAGTAGGATGAAGTCAGCTGGGGAGTAGGGGGAGGGGAAGCAAGGATCTGACGGGACTGAGGGTGAGCAGAAAGGGGTGATAGAGACTGATACCTCAGACCTGCCCCAGAAGGAGGAGGTCATGAAAGAAATCAGCTTTGCCGTCAGACTTTGAGAGATGGGGAAGGGCAGACAGAGACAAGGAAAACCGAAAAGCTACACAAGGAAGCTGGTTCCCTGTTCCAATGGCTTCAACGTTTTCAGGTCCAAGCTCTACATATAAATTAGTGCTACTACTTACAAGAAAGAAAATATGAAAATTTTCTATCCACTTCTGGTTTCTCTCACTTATTTGTTTTAAACTGGGGCTGACATATCCTAGAGTCCATTTGGTACCCAGCAACTGCGGCACGTCATTAAAAGTTAGTGTGTTCGTAGAGGCTAGGACTCCATGTGACCAAAACAGAAGCCACAGGAGGAGACTGAGCAACGATTTAACTCTTCTGGGAAATTATGTCAGCCACCGTGGCCCTCCATCGGTAGTTTCCGTCCTTCAACAACACGGAGGTAACATTGCTGGCAAGGAGGCAACTCACTAAGAATTCGTCACCAGAAGTCCCGTCTCCACAGGACCTTGAGGCCTGAGCTGGTTCTTATTCCTCCAGGGATCATTTACTAAACCCTAGTTTCCAAGGTGCCACCGAGGAATACTTAACAATATTCTCAAAACAGGCGCTCGCCTATCCCAGGCTGATCGTACATAGCTAAGAGCGACCCTGAACTTCAGGTCCTCCTACCTGCTGTGCTCCCCAAGTGCTGGGATCACACGTGTGCACCACCCACTCCATCTGGTGGTGTTCAGGACCGAACCCGGGGCTTCACACGGGCACTGTACCACACTCAGCAAGCAGCATCCCTTCCCCCATCCAAAAACCCGTTAAGTGACAGCCCTAAACTCCCCCCACCGTGCGTGCAAGCAGCTGCTTTTCCGTCCAAGCATGTTCAGCTTATGTGATAGGAGTCACTTCGCCTGTATACATATGATGAGACTTTCATGTGAAAAAAAAAAAAAACCACCCACGATAGGTTGGGATGTGACTCTACATTGTGATGCTGTTCCCGTTTCAGTCTCACAGCCAGCAAAAAGGTGCCGTAGGTGTCAGTAAAGGGTGATTAGCTATCTATCTGCCCTGGGCACACGCCATGCCCAGCGAGAGCCTGGCTGTGGGTAACAGAAGGTTTTTTTTTAAAAGATAGACTAGTGAAAGGGTGCTTTATGTGTAATGCATTCTCTTTTACAGTCCTGCAGAGGTGCCTGCCCGACTTCTCAACCATCAACAGGACTTTAATAGTAGGAAGTAGGATGCAATTTGACGACGGAAGCGGGAAGAGCAGAAACATCATAGAGCTCAGGGAGGCTGCGAAGTATGCTCACGTTCCTGTGTTGGTTTGATGCATTCTGCTGGCGTGTAACATGTTAAGGCACCGCTCGGAGTCACGGGGAAGTCGCTCATGTAGTATGATGAAGTACACGTGTCCCTCTGGATTAGGAAAGAAGGGCGTTCTTTCAGAGCGGTTAAACCTTACTGGGTAAACGCGAAGATCTGGGGTGAAGAAAGGTGCTGGTGCCAGTCCAGGTTCTACACATCAGTCCCCCCTGCCCCCGCCGCTGTTTGTTTGGGTACATGTGGCACACAGTAGCCTAGACCGTCGGGAAACACCCATTTCCTTGGATTTGCGCCCGTGCGCGGGCGCCCAGGCACAGACATTTCCCTTTCATGGCTCGCTTGCAGAGCTTAAAAGCAAAGTGAAAGGGGTCCTGAAAAAGGATTTCTCCCTTTCTGAAAGGCATAGACAGGGATGGGGGCACAGCACTCCCCGCCCCCCCATATTTAGAATTTAATAGCGATGTGAGTGAACCTCAGGAATATGAAGCTGTGTGGAAACCTGCCAAACAGTGATCGCGCGCGTGTGATGCCAAGGACACAAGACACAGAACAAAAATCAATCGTTCTGCAATGCATATGCATAGCACAGCATAGCACAGTAGTAGGGTCGTGGTTCCTTCAGAAGAGGGACATGCTGTGATGGGGGCTGGCAGGGAAGATTTGACAGCACCACATTCTGTGTGTTCACCTTGGCCACCCATCACGTTAGACACAACAATCTGTGCATACATGATTCCACCACATGACAGAGATGCGGGGAGAGGGATTGGGATCACATATGTGGGCAGATCTAGAATTTACCTCCTACAGGGGAACTTCTGCAATACTCGGGGCAGGTGGTATGCTTTGTGTAAGAATCCAGCCCTGGGGCGGGAGAGATGGCTCAGCCGTTAAAGGCTAGGCTCACAACCAAGAATATAAGAATCCAGCCCTGTTTCTCAGGGCCAGCTCCTATGTATGTGGGACTACAGGTACATTTTCGGGGCTTCCTGAAAAGACATTTGCTAGGTTGTTGTGACTAGTGAGAGAGTCACTGCAGCAGACATTGTCTAGAAGCATGCCTTGAATAGAATCTTGCAAAAATCTTTTTATCATAAGAATTTTTTCTTCTAATATTAACCAAAATTAATTGACTTTTCCTTCACTGAATGCAGCGGCATTGGTAAAATCCTTGATGCCAGGACAATCGGGCTGAAGGTGTTTGAAGACTATACGACTACGTGGAAATGGATTCTCATGTGAGTGAGACTGTGCGTGTCTTCTCTAGATGCTTTCTGATAACCTTTGTAGACTCTTCAACTCCCTTGTTCTTATTAAAGGGTGAAAAGTGAACTCAGGCCTCAGGATCATTTTCCTTTTCACATGGAGGTAAAGACAGGGCAGGAACACTTGAAAATATGCCCGTAAGAACATAAGTTTCAAGTCAAATATTAATTTACTAGTAGTGCATACCAAGTCCCTGCAGCAGTGTCCGTGGTCCTGTATCCGCTTTCCACATGTCACAGAGGTGGGCATGGTTTCATTTCCCTGACTTTTTGGTGACACTTACAAAACTCCTTTTATTTTCCATAGATAAACAACTTCCCCCCATTTCTCCTACCCATTGTTTATGTTCACACACAACTATGTACACATAGCTACTTAACGTCTACACAACATCTTTCATGTTATATTTTATTTGCCTGGTTCTTACCTCCAATAAACTGACAACTCTTGTTCTTTTTTTCCTTTTTTTTTTTTTTGAGACTGTGTCTTCTGTTCTTCAGTATCCAAGGTTGGCCTTGAACTAAGTAGCCGAGAAGGTTGACCTTGAACTCCTTATCTTCATCACATGCTGGTATTAGTGGTGTGGACTTCCATACCCAGCTAAACTATCAACTCCTTAGCATGATGACTGTGCCAACTTATCATTATCTCTCTCTATCTCACAGTATAGCTCTTAAAACATAGTAGATGCACAGAAATGTGAGTTCAGAGGCAGTTATAGAAGTAAGAGTGGAACAAGCTAGATACCATGTCTCTAACTAAGCACAGTGAATCTGCTAAGTTTAGCACTATATTGTGAGTGGAACACTAAAAAATAGTTTTTTATAAGTTTAGAGCGAGTTACTTTTTTGTGAGGTTTTACTGATTCACTGGTCTGCCTGTAATAACCCCACAGCCGAGGTTGCAACCTGCAGTTGGCAGTAGTTAAACGGGCTTTCCCACTGTCACAAACAAATGTCACTAGGCAATTTCTTTAATTCTTGTTCCCTTAGTTTTTGTCCACTCTTCCTTGGACACAACTCACCCAATACACACTAAACCTGTGTCCTCTCTGTACCCCTCCCATCCCTGGGCCCTAAGCCCCTCCCTCCCCTTATCTAGTCTTCCTGCTCCAAAATCTTTCATAAATACTGTTTTAAATATTCCCTTTGGGTCATGCAGTAGAGTAATCCTTCAGCCATGTTTAAACTTTAATCATTAACGTTTCTACAATTTCAAGAGAAAGGTTTTTTAATTTCCTTCTCCACCAGGGAAGGAACTTCAACACCACAGTCATCTCTCCAGTGACAGGTGTTATGCAGGGTCCCTTAAAAGATGGCATCTGAGACTATATCCCGCTTAAGACAGCAGACCCTGTCTGATGCTGACTGGCAACTTGCAGATTTCATCCCGAATGCCATGAATTAATTAGGAGACTGGGTCAACTTTCTAGTACTAGTGAATTCTCTTTGAGGAGATTGTGCCAGAAGACTCCATTCTGACCTTAACCTGGATGGGGCTGGGGTGGATACCCTCCTCTAGTACCCCAGCCAGGCTCCTGCGAGAAACTAAAGCAGAGAGAAAATATTCGGTCTCTAGGATTGGTAGGTAAAAAGCCGCATAGCCAGGAGGCTAATCTTGCCTGCAGGTCATGTACCCAGATCTCTTGGGACCCCGAATAGATGTTGCATGGGATCAAAATAATTTGCGTGTGACAGTGACTACAAAGTCTCAAGTTCAGGAACTGTGTGACCAGTTGTCTGTCCTCTCTGTACCCCTTCCATCCCTGGACCCTAAGCCCCTCCCTCCCTTATTTTTAGCCTTCTTGCTCCAAAATTTTTCCACACTAAGTCCATTCTGTTACTTCCAAACAACAGTGTTCTGGGACATCTCCCTTAGTCGCCCGGTTATCACAGTTTCGCCACGGACTTGTTCTTATAATTTAGCACTAAGTAGAAGGGTGTAGAGGGAAAAAAAGGTGCAATTTGGAAAGTGTTATAGACAGGTCAAAGCCGTGAGCTGGGGGAACTGCACATTTCCTTGGATAGGCTGTGATGGTCTGGTTTCTGGAGACACACAAGGTGTTTCAGGCGTAATAGTGCTCACTGGTTCTCCACGTTCCTCTTTCATGTGAGATTCTTAAAGAAAACCATTGCTTATACTTCTCAAATCATGTGTGCTACTCCAGCCAGGTAAAGTAGTGTATTTTCGGGAATGGTTTCAAGCAGAAGAGGCTCTTATGATGTTGGGGTTATGCCGCACTTAGCACACCTGACTGTTGTGGGTTTTTTTCCCTCCAGTGGCCTGACCGTTGCCATGGCACTGAGTTGGATTTTTTTGATGCTCCTGAGGTTCACAGCCGGATTCCTCTTCTGGGTCTTCATGTTTGGTGTGCTTGGAATTATAGGATATGGTAGGTAACACAACTCTTAAACTTGCCAAATATCAGAATAATGTTTCCTCATCATTAGCAATTATCGGAACCCATTTACTTGCTTCAGGCTTAATTAGTTTGGATCGTCAACTTTACAACATTTATTTAATTTCACATATGTCTTCTCCATAACTCTTTCTATCATTATTTTGAGAAAAGTCCCATAAGAAAAATCTACTCCTTTCTCTAGCAGCCTTTGGTCTTGGGGCCTGGTAGGGATAGGGAGGAATAGAAAAGATCCTTTTACATTAATGAAAACATTTCAAACAGTTTGTCCCCCCAACACACACACACACACACACACCTCAGCCCTGTTACATGTCCATCAATCAGTGACCAGGGTTACACACTGAATCACACTCATTGGATGAAGAGTTCAATTCAATCTCACCAAAAGCTGTATACATCAGGCCTGATGTGAGCACCAAGTAAAGGAATTCAAGTGCCTCCCACTGGGTTGTAGAACATTATGGGTGTTTACTTTTGGCCTTCAGAGCAGCAAACAGGACGATATAGAGAAATTTGTATCCAAAAGAATGATTTTAACCCCCAGAACACAATTTGGATCATCGGCAACACAGTTTTTCTGGCAGTAGACACCAAAACATAACCAGCTCCTGTTTCTGCCACTTAAGCAGGCTCGCACGCATTGCATAGTGAGTCTGTGAGCCGGTTCATGCTCAGCACCTCGCCTTGGCTATAACCCAGCTGCACACTGTACAGCTGAGTAACTGTGGAAGACACAATTTGCAATGTCAGGAAACAGCTCCCACATCTGGATCATCAGTCCAGTGATGGACTCTGCGCCCCAGAAGACAGGCGATGTGGGCCCTCAGGCTGTCGGAACTGAGTTCAGACACAGCAAATGGTCAGTGCCGGCTCCGTTTCTGTTGTCATTACACTCAAAGAACTTCTGGTAGACGGTCCACACCCCTCCTCGGCATTCTCCACTTGCTCTCATGTCCTGCTGGGCACAGCCCAGTGAGCAGGGGCTGATCTGGTGGAGGAGCTTGGGGACTACTACCCCTTCCTGACTGTGTGTCCTACCTGACTTCCATGGGAGAGACTAGGTTATGATCCCGTCTCTCCTTTTTCCATCGAGGCAGCAAGGGCAATAAAGTCCGCCATTGACTTGACTGGCTTGTCTGAGACTGGCTGTACAGCAGCCTTGACTCTGCAAATGGAGAGATGAACGCTGTACACAAAGCCATCCGTCTCGGTTTCCTCTCGACTCCCTAGGTAGTGCTGACCCAGCAATTAATTGAATGGCAATTAAGCTTGAAGCCATTCACAGCCAGGAATTGTCCATTTAGGTTGGAAACTGTAAGTCGATGCGACTGGATGTGGCTGGCCTCTGACTGTTTTGGACAACGGATTATTTAGTAAGAGGGGAAAAAAGCAAACATTCTTATTGATAGCACCAAATTTACTGGGGCATAGGATAATGCGGGTATGTCACAGTGAGTGGATTAACAAGCTAGACTGTGCAAGTGTGTGTGGGGGGATAACGGAAGATCCTCACCACACTGGAGCCTCATGACCCTCCTATGGTCAGCCTAGGCTCCTGAAAGAGACCCAGATGCTGTCTGTGTTTGGCAGCACACTCTGGCTGCTGTCAGGGCAAATTCCAATCCTTTAATAAATGAAATCGCCCTCAATTTATGCAATTGCCCTCAACTCAAAATCAACATCACAGGAAGGAGTCAGATACGGATATGGACAGAAACCATCAGTGTCGGATTGAAATGTGCGATAAATCCAGTTGTAGGAAAAAATGCAAAAATAAGTGTGTATAAAATGTTTATTGAGCGAGGGATGGAATCACAAAATGAAAACAGTAACAGAGATGTTGGTGTGAGGATGAACCAAATGGAACTTTCCAAAGTAAAAAAAAAATGGTCAGATTAAAAATTGAATGGAAGCATTGTGACATGGCTCACTTGCTATACAAGCCCAGCGACCTGAGTTCTGTCCCTGTATCCTGCACGAAGGCATAGGAGAGAACCAACTCTACAAAGCCTTCAGTCTGCACACACAACTTAAAAATTTGACACATTAAATGCCAAAATAGAGAACCAATAGACTGAAAGATTAGTGAACCTCGAAGAATTATTTAAACCCAGCAGAATGTGACAAAAATACTGTTGTGTGCGTAAGACAGAGAAGGAATAAGAACCAGAAAGAATGACGTCATACGCATCAGTCATAGTTGAAAGATAGAGATCCAGGAAGAGAAACGCACCAGATCACATGGTCACTTGTGCATATTTGTCAACTGAGCAAGAATGACGCACATTGTGCTGGACTCTTAACTTCTAACAGTAGACGGATAGATGAGGGTCTTCGCTTTTTGCAGGCTTGCAGTGAAGTATACTGCATGTTTGAAGGTGGCAGTTGCTATAGGAAAAATACAGAGTACCACAGCATACGTCAGGGTGAGGCACGGACACTGCGGTGTTACGGGAGATAGGGTTGGTGTCGTTGTTGCTCTTGTTAGTGCTGTTGTCTGGCAAGCACTCCATGCTCAGTGACGCCCCCAACACCAAGGTAGGTCTTTGTGAGGAGGCAGGTGTGAAAACACCTAGGGGAAGCTATGCAGTTACGAAGTGGTGACCAGGGAGAGTTCTAGCCACGGGTGCAGCCTGAGCAAAGGCCCTGAGCAAATCACAGGCTGGAGGAACGGCCAGGAGGCTGAGCCGGTGGGTACAGGGGGCAATGTGAGGAGATGACGTCACAGAATTCACAGAGGAGGCCTTGTTTTCCTCTTGGAGTGAAGTAGACAGGCTCTGGGGGCTCCTGAGCAGAAGAGAGGTGGGGACATGATGAGGACTGCGGTCCCTGTGTTAAGTAAGACGAGGACAGGAACAATCAGACTAGCTGGGAGGCTTACTACAGCAGTCCGTGTGTCAGGAGGCAGTGAGCCCTGGCCGAGGAGGCAGCAGTGAAGACGGCTGTGAGTGTGACAGATGTGTTTCCTGATTCTGGAATAGAGAGAGGAAAGGAAGACGATTCCTCGTGGCGGCATGAGGCTCGTGAAGGAGAGTGAGCAGAGAAGGTTAATTGGCAAACAGTAGGTAAAGCGAAGCGAACTTTATTCATCTAAAATAATAACATTAGCTGGGCAGCGATGGCTCGCCTTTAATTCCAGCACTCAGGAGGCAGAGGCAGGGGGATCTCTGAGTTTCCAAGGCCAGCCTGGTCTACAGAGGGAGTTCCAGGGCAGTCAGGACTACACAGAGAAACCTGGTCTCAAAAAGAAAATGGTGCATGTAATTAAGATATTGAACAAATAACCAGAATGGAACTGATCACCAATGGCCCTTGCATTTCCTCGTTAAATATTCTCTTTGAACCTGATTACTCAGCATGCGGTAAACTTCTAAGAGTGGTTATAAAATAGAATAGATGGCAGCAAACTAGACCAGAGAGAATATATGTAACTTAAAAACAGAACAGAAAGATAAGATTAGAATGTGCACATGCAAGTTGGAACTGTATGTTATTTACAAGCTTTGCAGAATGTGTAAGGAAACACAGCATTTAAAAGTGGAAGGATTGATTTTAAGAACTAGTGGTTATGAGAAGAAATCTATAGTAGCTAGAATAATATCAAAGTGGAACTTGAAATAAACCCATCAGGAGCAGAACCAGCCCAATTCTCTAAAACAAAACTAATTCTAAATTCGAGTGCATCCAATATAAAGTGCTCTCAAGATTCATAGAGGTATACAACATAAACAAGCCAATAAATAATGAATTAGTACTGAGTATAAATAAGGAGGTGGCAGCACGTTTTCCTGCAGTACTATAGCATATTTAAAAAACAGTCCTGTTGGTGGATGCTAAGGTTACTACAAGCCAGGAGTGCATTGAAAGCCACATAAATTCAGAAAGCATTTCTGTCAAGCAGAGTAGCAGGGTTAGATGGTTGCAGCCAAACATGACTCTAGCTCTGTAGAAATGGCCATATCGATCATTTTTATGTAGGTAGGTGTGATAAGCATGTTACTTCTACTTCAGAAAATAACATTGGATATTGGTTCTTTTCTCTTCCTTTCAAGGAATATGGTACTGTTATGTGGAATACATTGGCCTTCAGCACAAACCACAGTCAGCCATCATGATATACGACATTGGGATTCAGACTGCCATCAACATGATCTTTCACTTGAAACAGACTTGGTTCTCAATGAGTGAGTAGACTTTAAGAGTCAGTTTTGTTAAAATGGTAACAGTGTAGCAGACTTGGTTCTCAATGAGTGAGTAGACTTTAAGAGTCAGTTTTGTTAAAATGATAACAATGTAGCAGACTTGGTTCTCAATGAGTGAGTTGATCTTAAGAGTCAGTTTTGTTAAAAATGGTAACAGTGAAGAAGCCTTGTTTGTCCAAGAGGAAGCTTGAGTTCAATGTGTCCCGCTGAACACATCAATCACTTGGCGATGACTATAAATGTCCACGAGCTGCAAATTGGAAAGTTGTGATTTTATTGTGCAGTCTAAGATAACACTACTTTAAAAGAACACTGGGCCACTCGCCTTTAGTTTAAAATGGTTTGATTATGGGGACTTGATTGATGTTAATCTAAGAAAGGAAGAAATGACTGTTTTTGTGAGCTTTCTTTAAAAGACAAGATAATTATTTTACTTTCATAAAAACATTCAATCTATTGTAGGAGTTGTGAGAAATAACAAACTATTGAATTAGTTAAGGTTGGTAGTGATTTCTAAAGCAAGATCATCTCAAAAATGTCTTAGGTCTTATGTTTCTATAATTGGAGATTCATGTTCATTGAATCTAGGTTTTGACAATTCTTCATTGAATTTTGGTTTTGAAATTTCCCCTTCTTGTCATTCATATCTCTCCTTACAAATGTGTGTGTGTAAGAGGAACTCAGTAAGGGGTATAAAAAGAGGCATCTAGACATTACCTGATACCTACATAGTTATTCCCAGAATGAGACCCATCTCCATAAATTTCAAAGGTTTTTTTTGCCACTTCATCCAAGAAACTTGGGATATTCAAGGACAGGTGAGAATATGTCCCCAAGAAATAGTATGTCCCCGTTATCATAATCTCTCTGTGACCAGGTTTTATCTGGAATGCATGCCACTGTTCCAAGTCAAGAGCAAACTGCAACTTGGTTACCAGTGTGAAGCATTTTAAGCAAAGGGGCTTGTGGCCTGTCTTCTCTGTTCCCATAACAGACTTTAGTGTACATGTCTCCACCACATTATTCCATCTGGTAAACCCAATTGTTCTCTTCTCCTCCTTACATAGGGCCTGATGGAGAGGCCAAATTCTTAGAGTTTACCTTCCCTTTGTTTTCATTATTTTTAACTATGGATTTTGTAGGTTTTCTTTTTTACCTACAAAAACCTGGAGTCGCACTTTCTTCACTTTTTCTGAATTTGGGTGACTCCCCAAGTCTCAGGCATCCACATTCCACTGCTGGTCCTTCCCAAAGGAGACCACTGTTGTCCAGGATTCATTGGAACCCTGAGGCCACGGGGGAGGGGGGTCCTACACACATGCCCACACTGGCCACCCTCAGCTGTCTTTGAAGAACCACTCATAAAAATGCCATGGAGATGGTCAGCACCGGACACTGGAAAATTAACATATGTGCCTATAGGAAACTACATAACCTTCCAAACATTTTTAAATGTTTAAAATCCTGGCGATACCAGTCTCTTCTGGAATGGGTCTCAGGTTCCCACTCTATTTGTCAGATATGGATTGAAACCTGATTGTGTTGGGGGAAAAATGTCCAGGAGGAAGGACAAACATGCTAAAGTATATTGCTTCAGAAAAACCCTGGAAGCAAGCAGAGTTAACAAATCTAAAAGTGACCATTTTATCAGCCCTGCCTTGGAACAGGCAGCAGCTCAGTTTCTGCTTTTGCTGTTAGTTCCCTTTCTGACCTTGGGTAAGTCTCAGCCCCGGGCTTGCATCTCCCTTTCAGTTATGGTGCCTGCATTGTAGCAAATATGTTTCTGTAGTGCGTCCTTACTCAAAAGCAGAGGTTACAGTGTATGAATGCAAAGGACAATCTCTAATGTAAGCCATTTTCATTCCAGTGTGTAACTATGCAAACCTAACATACAACACAGTTCCAGAACATAGGATAATTTTGATGTAGAATATAGAATTCAGAATATAGAATAATTTTGGTGATTTCATTGTCTTAGGTTTGTTCAGGGAAAATGATTTTAGGAGTATGCTCCACAGTTGTGCTTTAAGAGAGTAAGATTACACCTGTATAAACAACTGCATTGTTTAACTAGAGAAGACATGGCTATACAAACACTCATTATCAAGTCCCTCCTGTGACTTGGGTTACCTGATTTCCACAGAGGTTCCCTGAAATGCAGTGTAAACCAGGATCGTGGGTAGGCCACCTGAGGGAGGCAATGAGCACTCCATCCCTGAAAGTGCTCGCCATGAACAAAACAACTGGCCAGCAATCAAGGGTGTGGCATCTAACTCCCCCAGGAGTTTGTTTAACACTCCCTGGGGGTCTGTTGCTAGCAATACCATATTTTCTCTCTGAATCTTGACATCTCTACAGCTTGACTGCATCTTACAACCACTGACAAGTCATTGAAAGCATTAAGGGCTTGTTGGCGTTTTCCAACACTGTTGTAACTTAAAGGTGTGTGTTAGAATTGGGGGGTGTATAACAAGAGGGTTTGACTCCAAGACGTTTTCAAAGCAGATTTGGCTATCAGATAAGAAAAATGGAGCAAGCGACGAGGCATCTACTAGAAGGAAGTAGCACTGGTGCACTCACTCCAGGAAGGAAAAAAGATGCTGGGGCTTTTCACCTTTACTTGCGTCTAGGAAAGTCCCCAGATAATAGGAGCGACACAGGACCCAAGGACTCCTCACATTACAGCCTTTTTCACACATGTGCATTTTATTCCTCACAATGCATTTTATTCAACTTCAACAGGGACAATATTTCTACATACTTCAGCGCAAGACAGTTATAAAACCTCAGTTCAACACTAAGCTGGCTTCTCTTTTTGTGCTGTGGTTTTGTTTTCTGAGACAGGGTCTCTGGCCGGTCTGGCCTCCGTGCTTCTCTGTTTAGAACATGCATGGCCTTCTGATCCTCCGCCTCCACCGTGTGTCCTCTGTCCTGTCCCCAGTTTACATGGCATTGGGGGTCAAGCCTGGAGCACCAGGCTTGCTGGGCAAGCACCCTACCAACTGAGCTATGTCCCCTCGTTTTGATACTAAGAAGTTACGGCCCACATTTAGTTGAATTTGCACCTTCATTCTATTAATAGTTTCTGTGGCAGGAAGGGTCTCGCAGAATGGGAGAGCAGCAGTGAGGCCTCTGCCCAGTCAGACAGCAAGCACGGTGAGCCAGACACCACGGGCAGTGTGGTCATCTTAGAAACCGTCTCCTTTGGTAGTTCCTTACATCAATAAAGGCGGCCTTCCTCCCTTCTTTCTTCCATGCCTCTTTTGCCAGATCTGTGATGCAGGAGAGATGTTTCCATGGGGGAAATGGAGCCAATTCACGGGGTGGCTTGAAATCCGACAAAGGTTCTGCTCCCTGTTTGCAGCACTTCTTGCAGGGGTTGAGAAATGGGTTTGTAACCCTGGCATTTTGGTGGAGGGAGACGCTGACTATATCACGAAGCGTCGTCATTAGCAGCAACACTGATAAACTCAGGCCTAGGCTTGCTGCTGGTGCTCACTTGCACTGCAGACTGACGTCTTCTCTCGTTCAGTGATCATCTTGTGCGTCATTGAAGCCATCATCATCATTGTGCTGATCTTCCTCAGGAGGCGGATCCGGGTGGCCATCATCCTGCTCAAGGAAGGAAGCAAGTAAGGGCTCACTGCTCACGGCAGATGTCAGGCCGTGTGTATGCGCGTGTGCGTGCATGTGTGCGAATGTGTGCGTGTGTGTGTGTATGTGTGTATGCATGTATGTGAGTGTGTGTGCATGCATATGTGCGTATGATACCTGTGTGTGGGGTGCATGTGTGCCTTTATGCGTGTGTGCACGTGTGTGTGCACGTGTGTGTGTGCATGCATATGTGTGTGTATGATATGGGGGGATGCATGTGTGTCTTTATGTGTGTGTGCATGAACACATGTGTATGTGTTTATGTGTATGTGCATGCATATGTGTATGCATGATGTGTGTGCACGTGGGGTGTTTATGAACATATGTGTGCACATTAGTATGGAGGCCAGAGATGACATGGCTCCACGTTCATTTTGAGACCAAATGTCTCCCTGAATCTGGGCTTCACTGCTTCCCTAGACTCCCCAGCTGGCAAGCTCCCCATCCCTCTGTCTCCATCTCCTTCCCATTTGAGATTAGAGGTGTGGACCACCATGCCAGCTTTCTGTGTGGGTGTTGAGGAGATAACTTGGGTCCTCATACTGCACAGCAAGCCCTTCATGGAGTGGACATCTTCCCTGGACTCCCCCTCACCACAAGGACTCTCTAAGGAAGAAATTGAATCAGTTCAGAGGTTACCACTTATTGCACAGGTCAGGGTCACCTCTTAACAAGTCCTTCCTGTCTGCCAAACCACAGTGCAGACTAACGCAGAGTCTATACAGTCTCGCACACACACATTTGAACATGTGTATGTCAGGAAAATGTAAGCAGTGAAGTACCACATGGAGTTGGCTGTGCCAAGGGTTACATTATTCCGCGGTGGCTCATGTGCTAATATTACTGATTGAGAGAATTTGCAGTGCTCCGGATCACTGTAATTCCATGATATCAATTGTGTGCCGTGCATTGTGCGTGCATGACATGCCTTGCTGTTGGACAAAGGCTGTTTCTCGAGTGCCTGACTATACATTGTGTGTGTGTAAAACACCTAATTCAGGCACATTTAATACCCAGGGACACTCTCACTTTTAAAAAAATGTTGCAAAATAAACCGTCTTTTCATAACATTCAGTAATACCTATAGTTTCCAGACCATTTCAAAAGGTCACTTGAGAGAATCTGTGCCGTCGGGTTGTGAATGAAGAGCAGGGAAATGACTCCCAGGAAGCCACAGACCCTCTGCTTGGAGCGGTGGAAACAAAGTTGTTAACTGCCAAGGACTGAATTATTTTTAATTATCTTTAAGGACTAATTTAACGAAATTGCCGTATTATTATAACAAAAGTGCCACCCGAAGCCAGTGGTTTAGACAGCTAACAAGCTGTTGGTTAAACTTTCCCCCTTACAATAAATGAGGGCCTATCATTATCCCTGGAAACTACTGATTTTCTGGATTTATTTCTTAAATGGTACATTTGTGTGCAGTAACTCAACTCACTTGTTACAACATTTTTTGTGCAGGTGAATGTGTGAGTGAGGTGTGTGTGTGTGTGTGCATGTGTGGTTTATGAGTGTGTGAGGGAGTGTCTATGTGTATATGCATGTGTGCCTGTGTGTGCACATGTGGTGTGTGTGTATGTGTGTGGTTTGTGAGTGTGTGAGTATCTATGTGTGTATGTGTGTGGTTTGTGTGTGTGAGTATCTGTGTATGTGTGTGTGTGGTGTGTGTGCATGTGACATGTGTGTGTGTAGTTTGTGAGTGGGGGTGTCTATGTGTATATGTGTGTGTGCATGTGACGTGTGTGTGTGGTTTGTGAGTATATGTGGGGTGTCGATATGTATATGTGTGTGTGCACTTGTGGTGTGTGTGCATGTGTGGTTTGTGAGTGTGTGTCTATGTGTGTATTCGTGTTTGTGTGTGTGTGAGTGCACATGTGTGTGTGTGTGTGTGTGGTGTTGAAGGGCCAGCATCACTATGACAGGCTGATAGATTGTGGGGAAGTACGAGCTGGAATTAACGGGCTTAGAATAAAGTTCTGGACTCTTAACAGCTTAAATTCGGAGTGTGCAGGAAGGAAGGACAGTGGAGCTCTGCAGTGAGACGGGCCAGCGAGGGCGTGTGTGCAGGTGTATTTGACGTGGGGAGGCCCCTTTGCTATTTTCCTTGGCAATGCCAAACAGAAACGTGTTCAATCTGGAGACACAGGAAAGCAACTGCTTAAAAGCTGCTAGTGACAGCTTTGTGAACCTGGGGAAATATCCCAGAGGGAAAATCTGCTGAAAGGGTCCCTGTGTTGTGTGGCAGGTGATAACACAACCACCTCTTCCCCGGGAATCAGTGGGTATGAGGGCAGAGAAGCATGGCCTACCTGACCCTGTAGGCTGGAGTGAACCTCATCATAGCTGCCCACACGGTGCTGCTGCGGAAGCCAATGCTACATTGAACATGGCACAGTGGCTTCCGAATCAGGAAAGAAATCCCCTACTTTAACATAAGGCCCATGAGGTCTTCTCCCACTTCAGGAAGGTAAGAGTCTAGGCAGGGGGAGAAATCACAGGACTGTGGTCTGTCAAAACCTCCCTGGCTACTCAGAGGGTAGGGGAGCTGGAAGTCTTGTGCAGGAGGCAAACTCGACCCTGGGAAACCCCACTTTAAAGTGAATGAGCTCAGAACTTGCTCCAGCCATCACCAGAGGAAATTATCAGCGACTATTACTACTGTTACAGGAATCCAATCTAAGACATACGTCTGGTTCTTAATGGACGTTTAGTTATTGAGAAAGCCCAGGTCTGATCCAGAGTCCTTTTGAACAATGACTGCTTGCTTCGTTTCAGAGCCATTGGCTACATCCCCAGCACGTTAGTCTACCCCGTGGTAACTTTCGTCTTGCTGTCAATCTGCATTTCCTACTGGGCTGTGACAGCCATGTATCCTTTGGCAACTGACCCTTGGTGTGCAAAATAACAGACTTCATAAACACACTTTCATATATACGTGATTGCATTTGCTCATAAGTGCTCTCCCACGTCCCTTACCTGCCTCCCCCCTCCCCAATCTCTGGATAACAGATTTCTTTGTCTCTAGAGTCCACCTTGCTGTTTGGGACCAGAGCTCAAATCCAGAGTTTTTCATCCCTGTGAAGGTGACGAACAACCTAAAGAAGTAACTAGATTTGTCAGTCAAATTTAATCCCCACCCCCACCGGGCTCACAGGGTTCTGTTCTATTCTGATGCACGGTCTTGGCAATAACCTAAGAAGGGTCCTCTGTACCTCTCTGGTTTCTCTGTGTCACTGGCCCATGAGGGCACCAGTATCAGCCTCCTAGGAGGGTGGCCATCAAAGCATGGGCAGAAGGCATTTAAAGCTCATTCCCCCACAGTCTGCAGACCTGTGGTTTTTCTTGTCTGTTTGTCTTGAGCTCAACAGCCAATTGTTTTATCCTTAATCAAGTGTGCTCAGTTTCCTGGCTACATCAGGGGTGCCAATATTCAAAGTCATGGTCCCGGAAGGGGGATGTATACACGAAGACGAAACTTGCGACCCAGAGGTGAGTCAAAGAGTTCTGCTACAGCGCATCATGAAAGCTGATGCAGGGGAGATCGGTACAGAGAGAAAGGGAAGCGTTGGGCGTAGCGGGCAGAGGCAGAGCTCACCTGTCTATAGTCAAACTCAAGAAGACAGCGTGGCACTGAAAACATGAGTGCCCATAAAAGTGCGGCAGGTAGAGAGAGGGATGCATGTGGATGATGATAAGCCCTTTCTGGAACTCATTAAAGTCTATCAATATGTCAGAGAAGTAACAGCCAAAAGGAGTGGGGGTGGTGGCAGGGGTGGAGGGGGTGGGGAGACCGAATATCCAGTTGGGCCACAAGAAAAAAAGTCAGAACCACATTCGATACCACGTTCCCGTATTTTCTCCCGAGTGCAGGTTTTTCCTGAGACTCACATTCCCGTAGTCTGCCCTGGGGCGTCATGCAACTTCGCTTTCTACGGTGCGAGGAGCGTGTATCATGAGTACATCATCGTCTTCCAGATCTACAACCTCTTTGCCTTTCTCTGGCTCGTAAACTTTGTCATAGCCTTGGGCCAGTGCACCCTCGCCGGCGCCTTCGCCTCTTACTACTGGGCCATGAGAAAACCCGAGGACATCCCCAGGTACCCACTCTTCTTGGCGTTCGGACGAGCAGTGCGGTAAGCTGAAACACCGGACTCCGGGCCCCTTTCCTCTCTCTCTCTCTCTCTCTCTCTCTCTCTCTCTCTCTCTCTCTCTCTCTCTCTCTCTCTCTCTCTCTCTCTCTCTCTCTCTCTCTCCTCTCTCTCTGTCTCTCTCGCTCTCTGTCTCTCTCGCTCTCTCTCTATCTGTCTGTCTGTCTGTCTCTCTCTCTCTCTCTGACGTTCATTCTTTGCCGGCGAATTCTAGTGGCGGAGGACTAAACGAGTTGAAAATAGAATCTGAGATTGGTAGGCGCTCATTGCCTCCAGTTGCCCAGCCACGTTTTCAGGATCCCTTGCCCAGAGGTCAATGTCCTAAATCCCATAGGCGACCGGAGATGAGCGGGCATAGAGCTGGACACCAAAGGGATTATTAATTTGTGTCCCCACTGATCAGGCCAACCCCTCCTCTAGGAGAACATATTATGGGTTATAAAGACAAGACAGATAATTAGTTTCAAATTTCCTGTGGAAAGCTCCACCAATTTCATAAGAGATTTTTAAAAAAATCAAAAAACACCTTCACTTCTGCTGAACCCTTTTACCCATGAAACTGTTCAAGAGGCACCTGTACATTCAGAAACATCGCTTCACCCCTCCGCTCTGTCTTGTCTCCGCCCAGGTACCACACGGGGTCTCTAGCCTTTGGATCTCTGATCCTCGCATCAGTCCAGATGTTTAAAGTGATCATAGAGTACCTGGACAGTCGACTTAAAAGTAAGCTTGCCGAGCTGATCAGACGCTCCTAGATAAAAGTGGGGGGGGGTGTGCAAGGTGACCTGGTGGCTATTGCGGATCAGGGTGGAGACGAGAGAATTGTAGGGAGCTGAATGTAGTTTTGAAACACAGCCCAGCAGTGCTTGCTAAGGGTTGGGTCCCAAGAGGAGGGGTGGGAAAACTGGGGAACGGAGAGCGTCTGGTGTCCTGACACATAGCTGATCTTGTGGAATCCAGGAGAAGCAAAGTTCAGAGGATTTGAAGAATTCTGTCCGAACGTATTACTGTGGAGGAGCATGTAGAGATACCATGTGTGCAGTTCCAGGCTTAAGACAACTGTGAGCCCTGACATCACTCTTCATACACGGCACAGGCAGTCTACACACACACAGGCTCTGTTCATGCTGTATTATTTCATGCATAGCACACATTTCCTGATCAAATTTCCTGATTTAAGATAAAACGACAGCTCTGTCAAAGCAGGATGGTTTGGCGATCAAGTGAGCATGTAGACCTGGGATAGCTTGTGGATCCCACACATAAATTCTCACCTTTAAAAGTCGGGAAAGGCTGGTCAGCTTAATGGTGATAGAAAAATTGGAGAGGCCCAATGTAAATGCACGCAGTTGGACCCACACTTACAGTAAATACAAAGTTAACCCAAAACACATCAAGGATCTCAACACACAGGATAACACTGTAATACTTTTAGAAAAAAAAAAAGAAAATTTTATGTCATCGGATTTGATGGAAGTTTCTTGATTTCACACCAAAAGCACAATTGAACTTCATGAAAGTCAGCAACATTCATGCATCAAAGGAACGACAGAGTGAAGAGACAGCCCCCACATAGCGGAGGAAAATCAGTCACAAATAGCAATACTAGAGAAGGGACTCGTGTCCAGAACACACACGGACCTCCTGTCTCTCCGTAGCAAGCAACACAAGTTCAAAGGTGTCCCGAGGAGTTGAGAAGACATCATGTAGACAAGAATGCTCAACCAAGACTGAAGGATGCAGTGTCATCGTATAGGGACGTACAGACCAAACCCGGCCACCAGAGCAACCACAGCAAGCAGGCTGTGAATAGCGCCGTTCACATGTATGTGAATAGCACCGTTCACATGCAGAGACACTGGACCCTTGTGTACTTGGGCTGTGAATACTGCTGCACAGGGCAGAGGGGCTGGACCCTTCCATACAAATGCTTCACGGCATAGCCACCAGCGGAACAGCTGAGTTTGCATAAAGCTAAAATTGTAATTTCATAGTCACCCAGGGAAGGACTTCTACACTGCTCCACAGTATCCGTGACAACAGTATTTACCATAGCTGAAGGGTGTGAGCGGCCCGCATGTCCACTAATAGTGGACAGGATACACCTGTGTTATATACCTAGAGTGGAATGTCAGTGTCACAGAAAGGAAGGAAGTGGTCAGTTTTGAAAACATTATGCCGAGTCAAAAAAAAAAAAAAGCCAGATGAAAAAGAATCCTCTTTGTATCACTCTACTTGGGATTCCTAGAAGAGGCAGTCCTATGCCAGCAAGTAAAATATAAGCTGGGGGAGAGGGACTTAGAAGGTGATTTTTGCTGGGCATTGATTTGATTTGATAAGAACTTCTGAAAATGGGTAGTGAAATTATTTTACAGCACTGTAAATGTGCTAAGGCCACTGAATCATAGACAGTTGAATGGCTAAAATGTCAATTAGGTATACATCACAATTAAAAAAATTAAAACCTATTTCCAGTGTCATCATTTTGGGTCTGAAGGCTGAGAGTTGCTAATGGACTTAAATGCCCTCCCACAGAGGCACAGAACAGTGTTGCCCGGTTCCTACAGTGTTGCCTACGGTGCTGTTTCTGGTGTTTGGAAAAGATGGTGAAGTTTTTAAACAGAAATGCCTATATCATGGTAAGTGGACCCCTGTTTATTTATGGTACCCTTGCTCTGCCCAGACCCCATGTTTACCCTAAAGCCCAGAGAGCGTTCTAGTATCAAGTGATCGAGTTTCTTACTGTGATGTGTGTGTGTGTGACTCCCACACACGAGTCAGGGCTACACTTTTCTTGAGATGTTAGTACCTTTGATATCTCACTGAAGGGGAAATATTTGTGTTGAAATTTTCAAAGTGTGCTCCAGGTCGGAGAGATGGCTTCGAGGGTAAAGGTGTTTGCTGCCAAGCCTGACGAGCCAAGCCAGCCCTAGTCCCACGGGGTGGAAGAAGAGAACCAAATCCTTCAGTAACTTCCACTCACACGCTGTGGAGCAGGCATACACACACACACATACACCACATACACATGCATACACACATACACACTCACACACATTTACACATAAACACATACACATGTACACACACACACATACACCACATACACATGCATACATACATACACACTCACACACATTTACACATAAACACATACACATGTACACACACACATACACATATACACACGTACACACGTACACACACATACACCACATATACATGCATACACATACACATGTACACATAAACACACACATACACATGTACATACACACATGTACACACATACACACACATACACACACGTACACACATACACCACATACACATGCATACACACATACACACTCATACACATGTACACACACATACACATATACCACATACACATGCATACACACATACACACACATGTACACACACATACACACACGTACACACATACACATACACCACATACACATGCATACACACATACACACTCACACACACATGTATACATAAACACATACACACAAACACATAAACACACACATACATATACATACACATGTACATACACACATATACACACACATACACACATGTACACACATATACACATACACTTACATATGTATACTCATACATGACACATACACATGTACAGACACATACACATGCACACACACATACACCACATACACATGCATACACATGCATAGACACACATACACATGTACATACACACATGTACACACACATACACACATGTACACACATACACACATGCACTTACATATGTATACTCATACATGTACACATACACACACATGCACTACATACACACGCACACACACATACACACACGTACACAAATAAATGTAGCTAGACTTTAAAATGGCAAAGCTGGGAGTGTGGCGGATGAAACGGTGCTGTGTGTCTGGCAGCTGTGTAAGAGGGAACCTGTTGCCCCAGTCCCTTCAGGGAAGAGACTGCCTTTCTACGAGAGGGATTTGCACAATGTTGAGAAAGGATTAATCATTTTAATGAACTTTAAGTAGTACTAATGCTTGCGCAGATCTCCATCCTGTTTCCCGTGAGAAGGTGGAAGCCCCTAGAGCTTCGTTGTGTTTGCATAGCAGACAGAAAAAAACAACTCTCTCAAAACGCAGAAGCCGCCATATGATGCTTGCTTATCGTCCCAGTGGGGAGGGGGCTGGAGATGGGATTCATACAGTCATGAATCGAAGGCTCAGTTTATCTACAGAGAGAGAGAGAGAGAGACAGTGCTGAGCCTTTTAGTCAGTAAATCCTCATCGTAGACAGGATCGGCTTTCCTTGGGGGTAATTTTTTTTAATGGGATGACAATATCCAATCCACTTAGTACCCACTACAGCTGGATATTTCGAAGATAGAACCCCTCATCTGAGACTTGAGAGGAAGGCCTGCCCCTACATGCACCCTTGGCAAGCCCCCTAGTGTCAATGACCCTGAGAGTTCTGTGGGGTCAAGGACAGAGAGCTCCTAGGCATCCACAAACCCAAATGTTGGACCAAGGACAGGGTTGCTAGTGTGGAAGATGGCGGTGAAAGGTGTTGTCCTGGGTGTTGCTTGTCTGTGCTGCTAACAAGAGCGTCAATCATTTTCAGATTGCATTATACGGTAAAAACTTCTGTGCATCGACACGAGACGCTTTCTATCTGCTTATGAGAAACATTTTGAAGTAAGTAATCAGGCCGCAGACAATCTGGTGAGACTTGACTTGACATCCTTTGCTTGTAGTGACCCGGGGATGTTGCTGGCCTCATCAGCCATGGGTGTTGCCTTTTAGTTTGATAGATTTTTTAAAATAATTTATTTATTTAAATCTCATTTTATGTTGCAGCATTGCAATCAGCATTCACTTCTTTTCATAGCTCAAAGTTGTAGTTCCTTTCTCCTACCTAGGTGGCTACATATTTAACTTTTATTGTCCTTTCTGAAAAGAAGTTCTCCAAGAGAATTTCATTAGCAACTTCTTGATGCCAATTTCCTCCTCTCAAAATTATTGGGAGTTGGGTGTGCAGAATCAGAGATCACATTCACGGTTCTCAGGATCCAGAATCCCCTTGGTAATCCCACCAAATGACAGTAAAGACCTGTACCCAAATTATCTGGTCAAGTTAAGGGACCTTTGTTTTCTGTGAGATCTCCCTAAAGAGGGGTTTGAGAAAAATAGCACCAAACACAGGAGAAGGTGGGGTTTATATAGTCCAAAAAAACTTCAAGGCTAGTAGGGTTTTTCAACGGTTGGGGAATTTCCAGAGGAAATTTTGGTTGTTTAGGAACTTGGCTAAGCATTTCAAAGTTATTTGGCAGAGCATCTTATCTTTCAGGGTATTGGGAGCATGTCCAAATTCCAAAAACAGGTTATAGCAAGGTCAACTTGTGCTTTGCAGCAAATAGAAATGGACTTGTTCTGACATTACAACAAAATTACTTCCATCCTTAAGATGGAGTCAAGCTGGCCCATTACCTTAGGAAGCAGAGACCGAACCAGACACCCCTACAATGTCCCCTTCTGTGGTCCTCATTAGAAATAAGAACCTCATGTCTGGCTTCCATGCTTATGCCTTGCACTTAAACAATTAGCAAAATTTCACCAAATACACGGGGCAGTGAACCCGTGAGTCTCTCTACCTCGTGCAGATTTCGAGCACGGAACGCATCAAAGCCTGAACTATACTTTCTTATTCCCCCTTGATGCTCAGGGTCGCAGTTACAGATGAAGTCACGCACTTCATACTGCTCCTGGGGAAAATCCTGGTCTCCGGGATTGTAGGTGAGTAGCGATGGCAACACGGATTCAAAGCTGTAAGGAGTTTGTGGCTTTGCTACAAAAATCTCAAAAACCCTCTCTCAGTGTAGGATATCCGTGTTCTGCTTTTTCCACGTAGGTGTCCTGGCCTTCCTACTCTTCACAGAGAGACTGCAAGAGATTGTAGAAGGACCAACAACCTTAAATTACTACTGGGTACCTTTTCTGGTAAGAGTTGGTGTATGGGACACTAACAAAAGCAACGTAGGGTGAGTGGCTTTGACGGCAGGAATGTGCTCGTCACGATTTGAAAGGCTTGGAGGCACCAGGCGGGCAGAGGTTGAGTCCTCACACCACAGGCTGGAGAGAAAGACGGGCAGACCCTGTCTCTTTGTAGAAGGGCCCAGTCCTTGGATAAGGGTATGGCTGCTCTGACCTCAGTAGCTTCCGTGGCCGTCCCCATAGCTCTCTCCTGAGTTCTGTCTCCCTGGAGATTGTAGTTCTAGTATAAGGATGCGGGGGACGGTTCAGTCTTGGAAGCTTAGCATTAGTGGTCTCACGATTTATGAAGAGACGGGAACGTAAGAAACGCGAAAGGAAACAGAAACAACGAAGTCGAGCGTTGCTGGTCTTAACCTGTGTCTCCCGCTCTTTGATGTCCGGTTCCTCGGAAAGGACTGCCCTGCTGATAGGGCTGCACGTGGAAGGTTAGACGGCTGATCTTCCGTGGGTTGCATTCCTAGGGACATTAGGAGGGCGGTAGAAGCCAGCCCAGAGTACACTTGCTGCTGTGCCACTAGATACAATGGCAGGACCTTCTGGAAAAGAAGCTGGCCTTGCGAGTGATGTAGGCAACTGTAAGCCAGGAGCTGACTCTCCCCCTCTCCCCCTCCCATGGGGCTCTAACTTGGATGAAGTGGCTCCCCCAAAGGGAGTGGATGTCTAAGTAGAGAAGCCAACAGTCCCAGTCACAGGGGACAAATAGATAGCCAAGTAGTCGGGCGCCGAGTGGAGCCCTGCTGGATCCAGCCATGAGTTAGCTCTCCTAAGCTGTGTGATGTAGGAGTGAGCCCCACAAAGCTATCCGTCCATGAGGGCGGGGACAAGGAAATTAGCACAGGTAGAGATGAAAGGAAGCGAAAGGAAAAAGGACCTCCTCTTTTGGAAGCCGGCCACGCTTCTGACTCCCAGCTTGTGTGATTCTCTCTCTCTGGTAAATAAATACATTGTATTCCCTATTGCACTGACTGTCATCTGACCACACTTCTGACTCCCAGCTTGTGTGACTCCCTCTCTGGTAAATAAATACATTGTATTCCCTATTGCACTGACTGTCATCCATAGCCCCACAGTGTGACATACATGCTTCTCTTCCACTTGTCAGAGCAGATGCTGAGTAACTTGAGGACCCAGGTAGCACATGCTCTTAACCCCTCGGTGCTGAGATTCTTTGGGTAGGAGTCTCGGTGGTCATGTGAGCGAGTGCATTTTTTTTAAGTCTCAGGACAGCGTGCTATCATAAAATCAAAGGTGTCTATATTGCAGATGTTCCCAGCACAGAGTACTCCAACACCTCCTTGTCCTGCCTTCCATTTACAGCTGCGTTGTTTACAGCTGCGTTGCTGCTGTTCTGAGTGGAGTCAGCAATGTGCTCATTCTCTTCCTTGTCTGTTCACAGACTCTTGTGCTCGGATCTTACCTGATTGCTCATGGGTTCTTCAGTGTCTATTCGATGTGCGTTGAAACCATTTTCATCTGCTTCTGTAAGTATCCGGTGTGTGTGTTTGTGGAAAACTGAAAGATGAGAAGGTTAAAAACTTAGTTGCCTACCTGGCTTGGTGATTTACCGTTACCTAACCTCGAACGTAAAGCAGCAATTACTTGGAAGGAGACCTTACGTGTAGATGTCCTTTAGTTCTGTTTTGGGGAGACTAAAGCAAGAGGACTGACTGTCAATTCCTGGCCAGCCTGGGCTACATGGCAAGGCCTTATCTCAAAAGCAAAGAGTCTTGAGCTATGAAACTAAGTCTTTGTTTTATGCTTTCCACGGAGTTAGTGATGTGTGGCATCTTTGTCACTTCTGGGAAACGAGCTGATAAGAGTTGAAAGGTGGCACTTTAGAAACCACGGGAAGAGCTTGCTGATAACCATGGAGATAAAGCTCCTAGGGTCCCAGGGGCCTGGTGTCAGGTATTCAGGGACCCTGCTTGCAGGCACAGGCCAGTTGGCGCCTTGTCAATCACCGGCGTTGCGTCTGTTTGCCTTGCGTTTGACACGCTAACACTGACTTCTCTGGTTTCTCCCTGTTCAACTGTCCAATTTGTAAAACTCTGGGTTCTCGTTCTGCTGCGGCCCCTGCCTTGGCTGCCGGTACGCAGGTGAAGATCTGGAGAGAAACGACGGATCAGCAGAGAAACCTTACTTTGTAACCCCCAGCCTGCACAGGATTCTCACCAAGAAGCGTCCAGCTCCCCAGAGACAGAGAGAGTAGAAAAGCCTCAAGCAGAAAGGGTTTTTTTTCTTCTCACTTAGGTTGATTGCAGTGTGAAGCTGTTGCTTTGGAGCAGTGTGCAAGCTCCATGCTGTTTCCCGAAAGCGTTGCAATTAGTACCGTCTGAGGGATCGGGCATTTGAAGGTGGCCAAATTTACTTTATAGACTGTGGTCCCGACTGCAAAAAAGAAAAAAGCCTGTAGCTGACAATGTTTTACTGACTTTTATAACTTTGCTAGCCTTTCTTTTTATAAGTGTATATTTGTAAGGGATATTCAGGCAGTTGTTTTTACTACAAGACTATAAATGTGTAATCAATTAGCCATAAGAACGTTGAATTGCAGTTGACCGGCGTATGATTTGTAAATATGGTGCTACGTTCATAGTTACTGTTTAAGCTGGTGAACAGCTCTTTGAAACTGTGATTCAACTCGTAATCCTGGTTCCCTAGACAGCCTCTTTCAAGTGAGCCCACGACCAGGCGTGTGAAAGTGTGGGTGCCACGGATTCAGCAGCCAGCACTGCTGCAGGGGAAGGGAACCTTGGACCCTCGTGGTTCATCTGGTTCAGTGAAATATGAGGCTCGTATTGGGGTCAAATCTAGACTGGGGAATATCGTTTCCGTTACGACGAACCTTTGGCCACCCTGAGAACGTTCTGAACACAGCGGAAGTGGCTACCTCGCTCGTCTCTTGCCTTTCGCCCGAGTTCCCCCCGCCCCGCCCCCGTTCCAGCCGCACTGAAGGCCGGTGGACTAAGCGCCTTGTCATTGGTGCAGACCTGTATCCCTGTGACTTCGCCCTGCAGAAGGTTTTTGAATTCAGCTTTCAGTGGAGGAAGAAAGCCGGTGGGTCCGTTCAGATTTCACTCTAAGGCAATAGACCAGTGGCCTCTTCTATCAGGTACCAAGTCTGATGGTTTCGTGGGTGTGTTGGTTTCACATCGGGAAGTCTCCCCGCCCCCAACCCCAACCCCAGGGCTTAGAGAGGAAGCTGGTTTGTCGTGGGCCACGCCCAAATCTCACGTGGGTGAAGGAAAAGTGTGAATTGGACCCCTACACCCTTGCCTGCTTCTTCCCTGTGTGTGGAGGTGGACCACACGGGCTAGTTCTAAAACGCCCCTCCAAAGAGCACGGGATTGACCAGTGCCCTTTTGGTTGTGATGATGTTAAACTTATGCCAGATTGTCTATATATTAATAACGGAACGTGTGGATGTCAATACGGCCCTCACGTTTGAGAGTCGAGATATGTCCTTGAGTTATAAGTTACTATAAGCGCTAATTTATTTATTTATTCTCAAGTGTGTGAACCTAGATTTATAACAGTTTTACGGAGACTTCCTACATAGAGCCAGTTATACCAGACGGTTTTCAATGTACTGGTCCACATTACATGACTGCCAGTAGCTTGTTCTTGGCCTATTTTATTGAAATTCCACACACCCGAATGTCATTTGCCAAAAGGGCCTTGTTCATTCTCTCCTCGATGAGGTAGAGAGAAGCAACCACTTACCTATTTTCTTGAATTTTGGTAGTGTTTTGTTTTCAAGTGTGCTAGAACCTCAACGAAGACCTTTGGGAATGTGACATCTACTAGTGACTCTGTAGCTGCAGGTGTCCGCCGTAGCCAGGAACTTATGATTGTATGTGGACCACTGTCTGGATGGTGATAAAAAATCCTTTAGCTGATTCAGCTACAGATAAAATCAGCTGTAGATCAGATGTGAGAAATTAGCTGTCTTTTATTGCTATGCTGTGGTATATTTCTGCTCAGAAAAAAAAATAGTCTCCGTTTATTACTTCTGTAATTAAAAGGCATAGAGTAAAACATGAATGTTCTTTTTGGAGAAGAATTTTAGAAGCCATTTTCTTACACAGCAATTAAAAGCTTTTAAAACACAGAGCAATATTTTTCAGAAGTGTCCGTGGAAGGATTTGACAAAGACTACTTAATTGTCGCTGGCAATTTGGAAACGGACATTGTAATGTAGGAAGCCAGTTTGTGCGGGGAGTAAATGTTATCTCCTCATTCATTCCATGGAAAAGTCTTGAACTGTCTCCTGTATTAACAAGGGCTAATTGCTTTTCCTGGCTGTTTACAACGGTGCTCGCGGTTGTCTATACGAGCGACGTTGGGCGTTGCTGTGCAGCGTGCGGGCAGCAGGTGGCGATGTTGCTCCTCCCACCGCTTTGTGTGCTATTGACTTCTGCCCTCCTCCCTCCTAGTGGAAGACCTGGAAAGGAACGAGGGCTCTCCTTCCAAACCCTATTACGTGACCCCGGCCCTAAAGGACCTCTTGATGGAGCCAGGCGAGGAGAAGAAGAATAAGAAGCGGTAGGAGAGCCAGGTGGGCATCCGGCCGCCTGTGTCACCTCCTGCTCCGCGGTGTGGGTCCAGCACTCCTGCCACAGTGCTTTGGTTGGGGACATTACGTATCCACAGCCTCGCTGCTGCTTGGCGTTCGCGGCTCATATCAAAGCCCACAATGTAACCCGTGAAGCCATCAGAAGGCGCAAGGGGATTGTTAATAACATGCAACATTTTTATACTAAGATCTTTCGGCTTGTATTTTCTCTTTTTGTTTGTTTGTTTGTTTTGTTTTTACATAAAGTGGCTTGGACGTTTTGAAAACTATACTGAATACATTCCTATTCTTTTTTAGCATTAACTCAATGAAGGACTGTGATTTAAATCAATAGCTCCTAATGTATGTTTTGTTTGTTTTGTTTTGTTTTTTGAGATGACAATTAAAAGGCTTCTGCAGAGAAAATTGATAATTAAAGCAAGGCCCCTGTCCCCCCACTCCTGTCTGATAGCCAACCGGTTAAGCGGGCTGCCCGCCTTGGCTTTTGCCTGTCTAAGCCGAGAATGCCTCCTGTGAGAGCTGTCCAGCCCTGAGCACTCAGTAGCTCTCTCACAAGTGCCTTCCTGGCTGGCCAGCACTTCCCGCGTCTTGTGGGAAAGTGTGGAGACCTTGTCTGAAGAAACCACACCCTGCAACATCGAGGGACGAAAAGTCTCCTCACGTTTTTCATTTGTTTGTTTTTGTTTGTTTGTTTGTTTTTTCAGTTTGTTTTGTTCTGTTTTGTTTCCATCTTGCTCTGTGACCGGACGCCTCTGATCATTTAACTACCCCTGACAACCCTCCACACCAGAGGAGTGTGTGACACCAACAATTCCCCTTGCGCCTCGTGGGCGTTCACAAATGTGTGCTACCCCCAAGCAAAGCAGCCCCCTGAGAGAAACGCCTGCTGGGTTTGTCTTTGCTTTTACTAGAAGACGTTTTTTAAAGTGTAACCATTTTCTATAACTAGTTCCTTAAAAATACAGTCGGCCAGCATCTACACATCCCATGTCTTGTGGGAGTCACACAGGGAAACTTTTCCCCCCTCAGAGGGTGGCAACAGGTGCGCCCTGTGCTGAAAACAAAAACAAAAACAAGAAAAACCTCTGTAACTCATGACTCCAACATGGGAGCCTGCTCTGTATACATCATTCTGCTGACAACGTTTTTATATGAAACAACTTGTTTACCTGTTGGCTTTTTTATATTATTATTGTGCCAGCAGAAACAAGAACTGTTTTTGATTCAGTGTTAAATAATTTTGTGAGGATGGCTAAGCTGGAAAACTGACTGAGTTTTTACCAACTCAGACTCAGAGCAAGTCAGCCCCAAGGTGGAGATTAAATGAGTCAATCATTCGTAACTTACTATCCGTTTGTCAGTGATCTGTTTGTTGGAGGGTCACTTTAGATACTTTTATACCAAAAAGTTCCCACTAGCGCCTTGCGGTGTGGGCTCTTCCCCCCTCCCGCCCCACGCCTGGTGGTTTGGGCTCTCCTGAGCCCATGGCGGCATGGGTTATGTAGTCACTGTGTCTCTGCTATGCAGGAACACTGAAAGTGTATGGTCTAAATACCTTTGGTAGTTACAATGGTTAATATTTAATGGCATTTGTTGTTGCTCATTGTATATTTGGTTTTTTTCTTCTAATAAAGATTTTGATAACAGAGTAAAAGGCTGCCCTTTCATTTCTTTAAGTTAGAAAAGAGATTGTGTGTGTGTGTGTGTGTGTGTGTGTGTGTGTGTGGTTGTACATGTGTACATTTGTATATGAAGAACAGAAGGCAAGTTTGGGTGTCTATCTTCCTCAGGCACCATTAATACTGGGTTATTTTGGTTATTTGGAAGTTTTTATTATTATTAATTATTTATTTATCCATTAAGGGGTTGTGAGTTTTGGGGGAAGGAAGGGCTTTTCACTGCCCTGCTGTTTGTAGATTCGGTTGGGCTGGCTGTCAGTGAGCCCCACTGATGTTCCCTTCTCTGTCTCAGTGCTGGAATCGCAAACACGCATCCTGTTGTGACTTTGGTCTTGTCTTTAACTTCTGGAGATTTAATTCACACTTAAGCAGTAGTCCCTGCACTGAGCTCTCTCTGTCTCTCTCTGTCTCTCTCTGTCTCTGTCTCTCTCTCTCTGTCTGTCTGTCTCTCTCTCTCTCTCTCTCTCTCTCTCTCTCTCTCTACACACACACACACACACACACACACACACACACCTGCCAGCTTTGGTTTTAGACCCACCACACAGCAACAGCATCTTCTCTGTACCAAGTGTCAGGGTCTTTAATATCTAGATTTATTTTAAATTTTCCTGTAACCATGTATTGCTGCGTGAAACCAAATGACATTATGTAGATAAATAAGTTAAGACAGACAAGTTAAGAATGGGTTGGGGGGGAGTGTGACCACCAGGCCATGTTTTAATTTGACAGTCTGCACACTGCTTCACTTGGTCTCATCAACATATACAAGGAGGAATTCTCATTTCCATGGTGAGGATAAACGGAAAAAAAAAAACCAAAGTGGATACTCACAGCAGTAAATGTACCTAGTGCTGGTCTATTCTAAGCTGAAACAGCATTTTAGGGGTTCAGTTACATGATAAATCTTCAAAAAATAATTTCCTTTTAAAATTTAATGGGTTTCCTCCAACGATGACCTAAAGCCCTATTCTTACCTTTCCAATACTCTTTTAAAATGTTAGGAAATTAATAAGATATTTGTTGGCCTAGGCGGTGATTTTTTTCTTTAATTTGAAAAAAAAACATAGGCTGGCTTTTCAGAAGAAATCTAAGTTTGGGCTTCGTACTAGTAGCTCCTCTTTTTAGTTGATAAAGCATTGATATTTGTAAGTGAGCTGCATGAAATTGGTCTGTGATTGATTTGGCTTTTCTACCCATCTAAAAAAGCTTAAGAAACAGTTTATCTACACAGTGGAATCACACAATGGAAGGTTCGAGAATCATCTGGGATAACATGACCGACTTAAGCTGGTTTTAATTAGGCAATGGCTCTGTGAAACAGTCCTTATTACCCCTTTAGTGTATGGCCAGCCGCAACTCGCCCACTGTGCGTCCCTTTGCTCTTATGATGGAGCCTGTGGTGCTTTGAAAGAAAAATGGGCCCCCAAAGGGAGCGGCACTATCAGGAGGTGTGGCTTTGTTGAAGTAGGTGTGGCCTTCTTGGAGGAAGCATGTCACTGTGGAGGCGGGCTTTGAGGTCTCTTTTGCTCAAGCTTCCCAAAGTGTAAGAGTCAGTTGACTTCCTGTTGCCCGCACGATGTAGGGCACTCGGTTACTGCTCCAGCACCATGCCCGCCAGCATGCCGCCAGGCTCCCCACCATGACGAACCTCTGAACTGTAAGTGAGTCACTCCAATTAAGTGTTTGCTTTGCAAGTGTTGCCTGCCGTGGTCATGGTGTTCCTTCAAGCAATCCTAACCCTCACTAAGACAGAGCCTCAGGAAATTGCTCTTAAATTCTAACCAGGTGGAGTACTTGTCTCCATTATTATCTGGTTCTGGATCGAGGAGCATGTTTTATTATAACTCAGTTTCGCTTGGAATAAGATGTGGGGACAGAATTGAACCAAAACCCTTACTGCAGTCAGATATTCCTCAACCTGTTTCCCAGTTTCTTGCAAACATTATCCCTACATGTTTGTACTTTTCAAATAAGCTTATAGGGTTACAATAATGCAATGAAACAAGCCGTTAATTAAAACCTATGATCGATATCTCAGATGCATTGAAATCCACAGCTTTCTGTCTTACAATCTAATTTTCATTATGCTGATTTAGTTAGGAAAAGAATTACATATTAAATATGTCAGGAAGAAATTATTTTCCCATACATGTTTTTAGTCTCAGAGCTAAACTAGAGATTGCAGACTTTCCTCCTGGGACCCAGCTGAGCTGCTGGGGAACCTCAATGGCTCACCAGTCCCACCAGATCAAATTCAGTCACTCAGGGTTAGTTTTACCGCCCAGCACTGGGTATCTGGATAGAGCCGCAGATAAACGGCCCTCTTGCAATTTACCTGGCCAACCTGAGGCTCACACTACCCTCCCCCGCCCCAAGTCAAGGCAGCCAGGAGCCCGGCAGTATCTTCCACTACAGTTTCCCTGCGGAGTGAACGTGGGCTGTTTCACGACAGGTTTGCAAGCAGTCAATTAGATTTTATGAGTTGTAGTCACCAAATTCTTTACATTTAGTCCTGGCTCTTTTTTCTTATATAACTGCTGCATGAATCATAATAATTTTAACAAGTGAGGAAAGTGGGAAAGCCTTCACTGTTCCGCTGAGGTGGCTCAGCAGGGTTGGCATGCGCGTGTGCGCGCGCACACACACACACACCATGCCATGAGCACCTGTACATGCTTATCACATACACACACACACATATCATATGCGTGTACATTAGACACATACGATAATAATAAAATCTTGGGTAGTAGATCAGTATTTATCCCAGGTATACAAATGGACTTTGGGCTCCCATCCAACAATGTGAGATGCACTCTCACCCTAGACTCTTGGGGAAGGGTCTAGGCCCTGCCCTGGATGAAATGACAGACTATGGACACCCCCATTGAGGGCCTCACCCTCCCTGGGAAATGAGGGGTATTGGAGGGGTTGGTGGTAGGGCATGGGAGGAGGGGAGGGAAAGGGAGAGGGACCTGGAATTGACATGAGAAGCAACCTTGTTTCTAATTTGAATTTAAATTAAAAAATAAAATATAAAAAAAATTTAATTTAAAAAAATCTCTGGTTCTTCTTTGTCTTCTGGCTCCTCGCTGTTAACTAGCGTGGCTTGCCAAAAGTGAGGGAGGGTTATGAAAGCAGAAAACTGCTTGCCAACTGTACGTAAACACACACGGGGCCTGGGCTTGCTTCGTTGTTAAAGTGATCTTGAGATTGCCATGTGCCGCCTTTTTTGTACCCAGAAGACTGCCCCCTGCTGAGGGAATGTGTGCCCAGAAAAGAATACAGGTGAGATGCTGGGCAAAGCCCCGGGTCTCCAGGTGGGGAACAGAAACCCTAAGATGCACAAAGGAATCTCCAGCGACCACAGAGGGCAATGACTCAGAGGTCAGGTGCCTTCTGAGTGTGACAAGTCGCCCTGTTGCGAAAGCAGATTAGAAGCCGGCAATCAAACAAACGAAAGCAGTTCTCAGACACCCAGTGAACAGCACAAAGCCGGCTGGGGTACAACAATGCTAATCACTTAGATATATTTAGCCCCAATAAATAACAGGGAAGAATGATGTCTAAATGTGGCCCACGGTTAATGATTTCAAAAACATCTGCCTCCCCTTTGCAGAGCCAAAAGGTTTGCTGCCACGCTAGGTGGTCTCTCTGTGGTCTACACCAAGCGATTCACTCTCAGCCTCCCCCACTCTCTGCAATCAGCCCCCTCTCTCTCGCCCCCTCACCTGTCAGAAGTTTAGAGCTCACATCACCTCCAGAAGGGAATGGAGGTGAGAGAGAAAAAGGAAGAAAGAAAGAGAGGACTTGGCCCCGGGGAGCGTGGATGGGCCCTTAGGGTACCCTGTCCTCCTTAGGAGGTCTGAATGACAGGAGAGAGTCTAGAATGGCAAGGATGGGCCCTTAGGGTACCCTGTCCTCCCTACGAGGTCTGAATGACAGGAGAGCCTCTAGAATGGCAAGTCACAGCTTGATGGTAACGGGTGAGCATCCAGTCCGTGTCGTCCAGGGACTGTAGGGCCATGGCAAGGTGTGGGACCACCGCTCGGAGAAGACTTTCTCGGTTGAAGGCTGAAGCTCACCGTCTCCTTGTGCTGAGCCTGTGCCCATTCTTGAAGGCCTGGTGGGGTATTTGACACATCGGCACTAGTCCTGTGCGGTGGATTTGTACTGCTCAGGGCCGTCACAAACGTGGGAGCTCCCTCCTGCTATCACCCCTGTGCCCAGGCCGGAGGGGTGAGGGGCTGTTCCCCCACCTTCCTCCGGCGCTTCATCCCAAAGCCGGCAGAATTCTTTAGCTTGAATTCTTGACCACTGGTGGCAAGCACCACCGAGTGTGCCGTGGGAGTCTTGCTGGGATCTCAGCCCTCGTCTCCATCCCTTCCCTTTTCATTTTAGCTTCCAGGTTTGATTTGGATGGCCCCTGACCCTTTGCTTGCTCCCTGGATGGCTCTCAGTCCTAGTCAGCATCTAAAGGTAATGCTGTGTAGGAGGGTGGTTGCAGCCTTGGAAACCCAGGCCTGCCTTCCATCTTCCCTTCTCACGGCTGCCGTGGTTTCTCTCTGCGGACCCTACGGAGTCTGCCTAGGCCAGTGGCAACCTTCCTTTATCCTGACTCACTGCACTGGGCAGCTAGGCAAGAGGCCCCCTGCTAGAGAGAGGCTGCGTGACTGGGACCCACAACTCGGCCCTCACAGGTAAGGCTCCAGCTTCCCTGAAACCGAATGAGATGGTTTTGCCAGCACAGAAAAATCCATACCTTAAAAAGCAATGTTCTTTTCTCTCGGGTGGGTTCCTACGTTTAGGTTTCAGTGGATGTGGTTTTGTGTGTGTGTGTGAGAGTGGAGGTGGGGGCACAGACAGATAGATAGACAGACAGACAGACAGACAGACAGACAGACAGAAGACAGAGAGACAGAGAGACAGAGAGAGGGTTCCACACCAGGATAATAACTATAATGTT